AAAGCGTGGCAAAGGAATTCAATATCAGCATCCAGAGTGGCCAGATACAAAAGGAATGGCTCCATAGTTATTTGTTTCCACTACCAAAGCCTAATAAAGACCACTCAAAGATCTGCGGCTACAGAATCATCTCGATGCAGAATACCGTTGGCAAACTTTTGGAAAAAATTGTCGCACAAAGATTGACCACCTACTTGGAACTACATGATAAGTTCCCATCAACACTTGGAGGGTACAGATTGAAGAAAGAGACATGGTCCAATGCTACTGTTTTCGCCTACGATGTGTACGAGGGATTTCAGATTAAAGAAGAGACATGTGCGGCAGTGTTGGACTTAGAAGATGCCTACAATAAAGTACCTTATGATTATTTAATGCAATTACTGCTTAAACTAGAAGTCAATCCTATTCTGATCCGCTGGATTGCTGCGGTCCTGTTCCAGAGAAAGATTGTACTAAGATGTGGTAGCTGGTCCTCAGAACCGCAAACGATATGTCCAGGCTTGCCACAGGGATCACCGCTATCACCAGTCTTATTCAATGTTTATACGGTGATGATCACTGAGCAGCAGTTGAATGGAAAGGGAAGGACTTTGTCATTTGCTGATGACATTTTGATTTATCGACGAGGGCGTGATAGACAGGAGATCGCCAGCACAATGCACAAAGAACTCGATCGAATTGCCGCCTGGTGTGATGGTTCCAATGCCTATGTCAATCCCTCGAAGGCATCAGTGTCATGGTTCTCTTTGAACAATCACATTGTCAAGTCGGACTTACCAGAAGTGAAAATGCGTGATAATGTATTGATCAGAACCAACGTTATGACGTTTCTCGGGGTGAGGTTCGATCGCAGCTTGTCATTCAGGGAACACGTTGACCATGCGATAACAAAAGCACGCAAAGGTCTATCTGCAATGAGGATTATGGCTGCTTCCAATATCGAGCAAAGACTGCTGGTGCTTCTATTCTATGGTCTGGTCCTTTCCCCCATTGAATACGCTCTGGCCATCCTCACTGTCAGTGCTACCCAGATTGAACGACTCGAGAAGGTGCAAAATGAAGCCATGCGTATTATTTTGGGATGTACAAGAGACACATCTTGTGGAGCAATGAGGTATCTACTTGACTTTCCAACAATGAACCAAAGGATCAGGATGTGGAGGGCTCGGGCATACCTCAAAATATGTGCTGATAAGAAACACCCACTGCATCAAGCGCTTTTCAGTGAAAAGGGCGACAGACTGAAGAGGGGAAAATCGTGGCTAGGTCGGGCAGAAGATGTTATTAGGCAAATATGCAGCCTAACCGACATCATACCTGGTGCAGAATGGATACCTGTGCCTCAGGCGTTTATTTGTACATTTTCCTGTATTGTCACACTCAACAGGCGATGTAGAGAAGATAATCCTGTTGCTGTTAATGCAGAGGTCAACGCTCTCATCGGTGAAAATTCAGACGAAGCAGATGCACTAATCTATACAGACGGATCAGTTATACGCCAAAGAAGAAGCGCATGGGCATTTACAGCACGCTCAGCGGGCAGAACAGTCAAAGAAGCCAACGGCGCCTTCTCCATGACAACCAGCAGCATGACGATGGAGGTGATGGCAGTGACGCAAGCGTTTGCCTGGCTTGAAACACAAAAATACACCCGCATATGTATACTCAGTGATTCAATGAGTATGATCCAGAGGGTTCAGGCAGGTTCAGTGCGAAGGCAATGGCTTGAATCAATTCAGAAGTCCACTGTGCGAGTAGTCACCTTTATTTTTGTTCCGGGACACGCAGGCGTCGATGGAAATGAAAGAGCTGACAGGTTGGCTGGATCCGCTATCACTACCGACGGTCGGCCTATGGATCATGCTGATATTATCAATGCCCTCAGAGAAATGGGAAGGATAGAGGACTTTGGTGGCAGTGAATCCACATCACTCGCCAGAATGGCAGACTTGGGAATTAAGATCGGCACAGCAAAAAACGAGACGCACACCGGACACGTCAGAAGACTTGTTAATCAACATAGAACTGGTACTATTAGCCATCGGACGTTGGGATTCATACTGAGGGGAGGATCTGAGCACCTATGGACATGTCCGGAGTGCAATGATGATAACCCAACTAACTAACTAACTAACTAACTAACTAACTAACATTTGTTACATGAGACAGAAGACAGGAGTTTGTTTTTATGGTTGCTTACTTCCATAATTCACAGCCATGTTAGTTTGATTAAGTTGAGTTAAGTCAAGTCAGGAGTTGACATAACAGCACTCAGGGCATTCCCATGTGTACTCCGTCCTCATTTTCAGCAGCCAGCACAGATTTCCAATACTGATGGTACCAGTCACAAATTGGTTATATGTCCGTCTTGTCTTTCCTCTGAGTGTAGTGAGCCGGCCAGACCCTCTGATTACCCCCAGGTGCCTCATTCTCTCCAGGTCATAATAATCGTGTTTCTCTACTGACTCCGTTGCTTGTTCTCAAAGGGCCTCGACCACATCTGCCTTGTCATGTATCAATTCACCACCCAGTGGTGCAGATTCACAGACAAGTTAAAACTTGTTGTATCGTTATCACCTTCCTTCTCCTGATACCAAATGTTGTTAATGGTCTGACATGACCGCCAGGGTTTTCTACTGGGCCTGATTTAGACTTGATGTGGCCCTAAGCTGTATGACACCCTGAGGCCCCTACAGTTTTAAATTACACCAGCTTATCTCATAAAACTTTAAAATATATAAGCCTTTTGAAAATGTGGATCATGGACAAATATTGCATGTAAAAGTAAAAGTAAGTAACAAGTAAAGGACCCTTTTATACGCCTTTAGGCGTATAGGGCATAGAGGGCATAGAGGGCTAGACCTATAGTTTATAGACCAACGGCACAAGATGGGTGATGTGGTTAGCAATATGCCGGCCGCCTCTACTTCCCGGGACTGCACCAGGTACCCACTCAAGGCTGGGTCGACCTGGGAGCCAAGGTCATTTTTGAAGAGTCGTCCGGTTCTGCCAGGAAGCGAACCCACGACCTTCCGATCCGCCCTGCCACGGCGACTTCCGTATATGTAAAAACCTGAGATAATATAACCCCACACCCCCTCCCCCCCTTTCTTTCCAATCCGGCACTGTTGGATCGTCTGTGTTATTGTCTTGACCTAAATCTCGCACTGTTGGATCAAGTCTATGTTATTGTCTTGACCTAAATGTTGGATCAAGTCTATGTTATAGTCTTGACCTAAATGTTGGATCAAGTCTATGTTATAGTCTTGACCTAAATGTGGCACTGTTGGATCAAGTCTATGTTATAGTCTTGACCTAAATGTGGCACTGTTGGATCATGTCTATGTTATTGTCTTGACTGTGTCATGGGACCAAACCCACTTTTTGTTAACTTCCCACCTTGACATTTCTGTTGAAGTTGGCAAGTGCAACATGTTTTAAAGTGGGTATTTATTCTTCTACTTATTCTTCATTTGTGTCTTTCACTTCTTTTTCTTCCTTTCCTCTAGATATATTATCAAAGTGTTAGGAAGATGTAAGGATCTGCTGTTTGATCTGTCTAATGCCATGTTTAAGCTGATCTTCATTTATTTAAGGCTATTATTCTTGATGCCATTGTTTCATATTTCGCATGTTATTACTGTTGCTCTGTCTCTGGTATATTTCTTTAGTATTGCTTTCTCTGGCATTCTTGTCAAATGGCCAAACCATCTCATATTTAAAAAAAAAGTAAAGAAGGGAGATGTGAACCAGCGTCATTGCACACGGTTATAAACCATAAGTGCTTTGCCACCAGTTTGGACAGCTGATAAGAAACTGTCGCCATCCGCATGTAACTCCGTAGCTACAGCGACGTTCTTCAATTCACACCAAAGTGTCAGCTCTGGTACCCATTTCCTACAGGCTGGGTAAACTCCGGGAACCACCCGGTTTCGAACATCGACCGTGGCTGCAGCAAATCGCAGCTGGATTTAAAAGCGAGCCTACTATCGACTGCGCTAACGCGGCTCCATACCATATATTACTCTTCAATTAATTGTATGACTGGTTTCAATTCTAGTCTTCTTCTGATTTTATGTTATCTCTTCATGTTGCTCTGACAGCTGTTCTAAGACAATTTCTTTCTGTTGACATACTTATGCTAATTAGTTTAATATGGCAAGTCTTTGCAGAACGTCATACTTTTTATGACAGTTTGAAAAGCCACTTTGTCGTCTGCTAATTGTCCTACCTCCTGTACATGTGTCCTTCCTTATACATAACAAACTAAAAAGTATGTGATGGTCTTGTCAACTTCTGAACCAGTTTATGGTTTTTATCTGTTTCTTTGAAAACAGAATCATTTTTTTTTCTGTCCATCGATGATAATCTTTTATTTCCGCTTGAAACCATTTTCCCGGCGGCCAGTAAATATTCACGTATTGTCCATGTAGCACGCGCCAACAAAAGTCGTTTATTGGAATTATTCTGGAACCCGCGCCAGCAAATGACATCGCTCTCTTCCCATTCGCTGCCTCCCTCTGACATGAGTGTTTCCAGTGTTTCCACCAGTGAAACGAATATTGATAACCTCCCGGCCATGACACTGACGGTTCACAAAGTTCAATTTCTACCCATCCGTTGACAGTCTGGTCTGTCCGGACCCAACACCCACATCAGTTCACCCCAGTGTCACTTCCCCAAAGTCTCAGACCCTGCCAGAGACTAGCAACAAGAGAGGAAATTAACCAGATTATCTTATCTGTAGCTAACTAGGTCGCGTATATACACATTATAAACCCAACACAGAGCGTGATTGCGTGTAGTGAGCACGCCCGTGGAGGCTGGCAAGCACCTTTTTCTTCACTTCACAGCAACGGTTCCTAGCCCTTCATAGTATCTAAGTTAATAGTTCCAGCATTCTGAAGACTGATCCCTACATTTCTCTATCGGAGAGCCGCATAGTTCGGGTTTCCATGTGACCAGCTGTAATTAGTCTTAATTCCGGAATAACAAACATGGTAAGTCGTTAACTTTATCAGAGATGTCTGTCTGTAAGTAACCGTTTCGCTGATTGCTGGTGTGTACACGCGAAGTTTGTTTATGTGTTTCTTAACAACAGCTTTATTGAGCTGTTATATTGGTAAGCAGCTTGTAGGTTAGTTGCGTATCCTTTACAGGACGTTGCAGAACCAACCCCAGCAGCCCCTGGCTGTTGTGTGGTTTCTCTAGGCAAATGTATGTCCAGTAGTTAAGCAGTTTATAATGAACAGGAAATATGATTTTCGAATAGATGCCATTGATATGTGAGTGTGCAGGATGTTTCATATTTAACAAAAAACAATTAAAAACGGAGATATTACATTTACAGAGATCGGAAAATGAGAAGTCAGTTGTAAAGGGGGAAAATAAAACGGTACAAGAGAAAATATTTTGCTCTCACTGAACAAGTTGAAGGTATGTGAATAAGTTAAAGGCGTGTGAAAAAGTTGAAGGTGTGTGAACAAGAGGTAGCCAGCGATACATGTGGGATGATAACATCAACGGATGGACAGGTAGCAATCTGAGAGAATGTATAAACAATGCGAGACAACAGACATCCATTAGAGCCAGCCTTAATAGATTACTGAATTGAATGTGCGAAGTCCCTGGGTTCGGCAACCCTTCCTTACAAGCATTTAGTAGGGGGGGGGGGGTGGGGGGGGGGGGCTTATTAGGGGTGTTTCTTTCAAAGTCGGAGTGAATCTGCCGGAGAGGAGAGTAACCAACAATCTGCATACAGATACGCCAGATGTGTAAAATGGACGTGCACCCAAAACTTCTGGATCAAGACCAGAGTCCAGGAGTGGACGAACAACCAGAACCTCTCCGTCGGAATTACAGCCGGGGAATGGTATGAAAAAACAGAAGAAGACAAAGATGAAGAAAAAGAAGAAGAAGTGACGTGACAAAACTAACAGATGACCTCCATCTGGAAGATATATTTCTAGTGTACTCTGTGTGTGTGTGTGCGTGCGTGTGTTTGTGTGTGTGTCCTTTATTTTGTATTTTAACGAATTAGTTCAACTGGTTATTTTTTCGCAGTCAGTTGCTAGTTGGCACATACTAGTTTGAGATGTTAATATAAAGCGTGCAAACTTATGACGTCTTAGGTATAACATTGACGCTTTCTGACTGAAATCTGCATTACTTTGAAGCAATGACACACACACTCTCTCTCTTTCTTTCTTTTTCTCTTTCCCCATCTCTTTTTTCTTCCCCGCTCTTTCTCTTTACCTCTTTCTTTTTTTTCTCTTTCCCTCTCTCTTTTTTTCCCTTTCCGTCTCTCTTTTTTCTCTTTCCCGCTTTTTCTTTTTACACCCCCCCCCTCTCTCTTTTCTCTTTCCCTTTCCCTTTCTTTTATCTTTTCCCTCTCTCTTTCTCCCTTTATTTCTCTCTCTCTCTCCTTCCCTTTAAAGACGGTAGGGGGTGTCTTAGAATCTGAGGATTTATAGCAACATGACTAGTGCTGTCGCCACGGACTGTATAGGTTTTAATATCCCCCCCCCCCCCACTTCACCGAAGAAATTATTGGCAGGGAGAAAATGGACGAAGACAGTCATATGATCTGTGAAGCAACAGTTGATTTACTACCTACTTCTTTTCCGACGATATGGAGAAATATGCTGTCGATTCACTGCTAGCAGATGTGTATATGGAATAGAATAAGTCATGGCTCTTTTCTGTTCGTACACAACCGTACTCAGTACCGGCACCTTTTTCTATGCATCATTTTGTTAGGGCCTCTCTCGTAATCGACTTTTTTTTATATCGGCACAAGAAAAAAGTCCTAGAAGAAATCAGGCAGGTGACTAAAAAACTATTTCCGGTCCTTGCTGGTTCCAGGGCCCTATTATAAGGGGAAGCATGTTGTACATTTCGACCATTTAGGGCTCTTTTCTTCCAAGTCGGAGAACATCTGCCTGAAATGAGGGGAACCAACCGTTGCACGCAGAACTCAAGTTATATAACAAGACTACAGTCCAGAAGTAGGCGAACAACCAGAAATTTCCGCCGGAATGCGAAAAAGAAGATAACTGCTCCAATATCCCCCAAAACAACGGGGAAACCTCGCTCAAATATGGGAGCCGTAAATGAAATGTCTCAGCTGGAGACAGCCATAATTTTTGGGCCATGTTATGAGAAGAGGGAAAATAGAACATGTTGTGACCACTGGAAAGATATGTGAAAGGAGGGATAGAGGAAGATAATGAGAGAAAATTCTTGACAGTCTTGTTGCATGGCATGGAGGTATGTCGGCATACGAACTGATACATGCTGCAGGAGATCGCGGATTGCGGAGAAGCATGATTGTCCACGCCAGTCGGCAAGGCCCCTGATGATGTAATGAACCCAAGAAATGATGTCCGAAATAAACTGCTGAGCTCAAACGCTTTGAATTGGATTCAATCCAAAAGATGGTAGAAATGAGTGAAAGAATAGACAGTAGGCCATATATGACGTAAAATGTCACCTCACGAGGATGATGAAAGAAAGTGGGGAACAAATTCATTAAAAAGTTAAAACTTACAAGAATGAAGTTCATTAGAACTTCTTATCACGAAATGACGAGTACCTCGGGCCCACGTGACACACAGGTGACGGTGTACACACAGATAATGACTCCAGCGCAGATTCTACATTCAGAGATGTTTGATCATGTCACACACTTGCATTTGCAAAAGTGGGCGGGATCTGCATTTTTATCTGTCGAGACGTGTGTTGCTATCTCGGTGGTACCTGCGACAGGTGGGAAAACACTTCACATAAAAATTCACAATAAAATACAAAGACTCCGTTGGTCGGCTTATCTTTAATTTCACCTGCAAGGTCAATAACATTTGACACACGAAAGTATGAGTATACACAGACACACTGCCAAACAGGTGGATAGTCACATCCGCCAACACAAGCCCCATTAGAATACTGCCGGTAAAACAATTTTAGGGGATTGTCAGTAGACAATATAACAATATAATAGCCAAGTGCGTCGGAACCTATTAAAAAAAAAAAAAAGGGGGGGGGGGGGGGGGGGTTGTATACTCACTGTTTCCTCTCTATCGCCCAGAGAATTCTAAAAAAAATTTTTAAGTGGGGGAAAAGCCCACCGTCTACCCCCTTTTGTTTCCTTGATCATATGGTTATTCTACTTCTTTAGGTCCTATTTTACCGCTTCGGGTGTCGAGGGAGATATAAGTTCTACTCCATGCTTTTCTGGCTGCTTCGACCAAAGACACATCGTTGTGCTGTAGAGTTTTTCTGATGGTATCTGTCCATATTGTTGTTGGTCTACCTCTTGCTCTACGTCCCTCTCCTCTTTTGTGTGGTATAGCATCAGAAGGTATTCTCTCCAAGTATGCAAACCATTTGATTTTCTGTCTTTGTATGTAATTTTGAACTGGTTTTGTGCCGACTTGATCTCGTATGACCTCATTCCTGGTTTTATCTCTTCTGGTCACTCATAAGGTCCTTCTCAGACACCTCATTTTCATGGTTTCTAATTGTCTTTTTTGTTTTGTTGTGAGTGATCGTGTCTGGCACTTGTAGCATAGGGTAGGAATGAATTTGTTTTGTATGAGATGTCTCTTTGTGCTGATTGGGATTGCCTTATGCTGTAAGGGGAGTAGAGGGACGTAGGGGGGGGGGGGGGTTTTGGGGGTGCTAGCTGTCAATGTACTTAACCAAATCAGTCCGTTTAAATCCCACTGTATGTGTTGTAGCTTCAGTCAAACATATCCAGTTTTATTAAATTCTTATTTAGTCGCCTTTTACGACATGCTTGTCGAGGTTTCGGGGGGGGGGGGCAGTTGGTTCTATTTCTCCAGCTTTTCGATTGGTCCCTGAACCCATGGGGTGGGGGGGGGGGGGGTCAGATTATATCAGCTAAAACAGCCTCACAACCATAAAACTAGATTTCTCTAAGTACACAACATCACAACCAACAATTTCACACTCAGTAAGCTAGATTTAATTCTGTAGAACGCACGCAAACACTCAGTAACTTAGATTTTCATATATACGACACATGCCAACCACAGACATGACACCATGTACACCAGACGACAACCAAGTTATATGTTGTCTGATACAGCAGACGACAGCCAAGTTAGATGTTGTCCGATACAGCAGACGACAACCAAGTTAGATGTTGTCCGATACAGCAGACGACAGCCAAGTTAGATGTTGTCCGATACAGCAGACGACAACCACACTAGATGTTGTCCGATAGAACAAACGACAGCCAAGTTAGATGTTGTCCGATACAGCAGACGACAGCCAAGTTAGATGTTGTCCGATACAGCAAACGACAGCCAAGTTAGATGTTGTCCGATACAGCAAACGACAGCCAAGTTAGATGTTGTCCGATATAGCAAACAACAGCCAAGTTAGATGTTATCCGATACACCAGACGACAACCACACTAGATGTTGTCCGATAGAACAGACGACAACCAAGTTAGATGTTATCCGATATAGCAGACGACAACCAAGTTAGATGTTATCCTAAACAACAGACGACAACCAAGTTAGATGTTATCCTATACAACAGACGACAACCAAGTTAGATGTTATCCTATACAACAGACGACAACCGGGAACTTCCCATTCTTTAAGTTAGATGTTATCCTATACGACAGACAACAACCGTGAACTTCCCATTTTTTAAAGTTAGATGTTATCCTATACAACAGACGACAACCGTGAACTTCCCATTCTTTCAGTTAGATGTTATCCGATACAACAAACGACAACCACTGTTTAAGTTAGATGTTATCTGATACAACAGACGACAACCACTGTTTAAGTTAGATGTTATCTGATACAACAGACGACAACCGCTGTTTAAGTTAGATGTTATCCGATACAACAGATGGCAGGCAAGAACTCACACTCTATTTGCAGGCGGAGGAAAGCACGCAGACGTCGACATGGCTACTGAACTGCCCTGAAATCCCGAATGGCGGGAACGAGAAGAATAAAAAACACACTACATCAAAAGATGGAAAAAAACGAAGCAAGCCTTGGTCAAGTATGTTTTTAATACAATGATGTCCATTATTACATTTACTGGTGCGCCATTCATCATCACGTGCCTTGTCGATACGCGTAGGCTGTCATACCTCAATAGCTCTCACATAACTAAAACTAAATCTATGGTAATAGCAACCAGGCAAAAGTTACAGACTTTAGACGTAAACAAGCCTCCGCTTGAGCTCCATGTTGACAAATTACCTATTAATAATGTTAGTGAACATAAAACATTAGGCGTTACAATTGACAGCAATTTAACTTGGTGTTCTCATGTTCATGCCATAACCAAGAAAGTAGCACAAAAAGTCTACCAGTTAGCCAAAATTCAGCACTTTCTGAATCAGAGTACAAGAAAAATATTTTATGTATCCTACATTCAAGCCCATATCGACTATTGTTCCACGGTTTGGGATGGCTGCTCCAAATCCAACTTAAAACGACTGTGTTCTCTACAAAATCGCGCTTTACACCTAGTTTCGGATAGAAAACATACCGATAAAAATCATTTCTATAGCCAGTTAAGAATTCTCCCATTTAAGAAACGATTACTTTTTAATAAAGCCAAATTTATTCATAAAATTTTAGCTCAGAACACTGCAGATTATCTTCTCCAGTTGATTCAACCCAACCCTAATACCAGCAAACGGCTAAATTTATTGCATTTGCCGAAGCCTAGATTAGATCTATATAAAACAAGTTTGTCATATTCTGCTGCTCATTTATGGAATCACCTCCCACTCGATCTGAAAAATATGAGTATGTACTCGTGATTATAGGCCACCATAGATGAAGTTAATAATTCACATGTATTATCACCTTACTTATATGTATGGTGTATTATGTATACTTATGTGTGTATTATGTGGGTGGGTGTGTGTAATTGTTAGTGTGTATGTATATATGTGAATATATGTCTGTATTTTTAGGTTTGGGAGTATGTGTGTGTATTTATGTATGTAGGTTGTAAATATATGGGTGTATGTGTGATTGTATATGAGTGTGATTGTGTGTGTGTCTGTATTATGTATGCATGTATGTATGTATGCAGGCATATATAAGTGAATGTTTGTATGAGGGTGTCTGTTTGTGTGATTAGTTATGTGTGTATGCATGCATATGTGTTTATGTATGTTATGTGTGTGTATGTATGCACGTATGTGTGTTTGTATGCATGTTGGTGGATGTATGTATGTATCTGTGTAAGTATGTGTGTGAATTTATGTGTGTTTGCAAGTATGTATTTATGTTTGTAAGTATGTGAGTGTATGTATGGATGTGTGTATATATGCATGTGTGTGTGTGCGCGCGCGCATGTATGTCTATGTAAATATGTGTTTATGTTTGTATGTCGATGTATGTTTGTATTATGTATGCATGCAGATTTAGTCTATGTATGTACACATGTGTATGTGTGCGTATATGTATATAGGTGCATGTATGTATTATGTATGTCTGTATGTATGAGAATGTATGAATGTAAATGTGTAAGTATGTGATTGTATCTGTGTGTGTATATTTATGTATAATGTGGGTGTATGCAGGTATATGTAGCTGTGTAGGTATGTGGGTGTTTGTGTATTTATAAAATCATGCAAGTGTGCATGTGTGTGTGATTGTGTGTGTATGCATGTGGATATATGAAAGTATAGTTAGGTATGTATGTATGTGTGTAAAGATGTGAGTTTAGGTATAAATGTAAATATGTATGCATGTGTGTGGGTGTATGTATTCATGTAAGTGTAAATGTGTGGTTTTGGGCATATGTTGGTGTCTGTACATGTAATGGTATATGTGTGTATGCATGGGTGCATGTATAGATGTATATATATGGAATGCGTGTGTGCATGTATATCCATAAATGTACGTGTGTGTGTTTTGTTTGTGCATTTATTTCTGTGTATGTGTATGCTTGTATCTGTATGTAGATGCATGTGTGTATGTATCGCGTATGCCTGTATATGAGTTCACCTGTATGAAAATGTAGATGTATGTATACGTGTGTGTGAGTGTGTATGATGGCGTACACACGATGTGTGTATGCATTATATATTTCTTTTTAAATCCATAACATGCATTATTGATAATAGATATTAGTACTCTGAAAATGAGTACTTAGAAGGGCCGAATGTCAGACGGGCCTGCGTGCCCAATTTGTAACCCTTTGAAAATAAAGTTTGTTCGTTCGTTCGTTCGTTCGTTCGTTCACACGACTACCAGAATCATAAATTAATCCTGAATTCTTGTCCAGCTCTTAGTTAAGCCACCCAAGTGTTTCTCACTGTCTTCGTTTGACGTTTACTTCAATATATTTGGCATTTGTGGTTTTTGAAAACACAGCTTTAAACAAGTTTTTGACATCCAAGAAATTCCGAATGTTTACGAGCAATACCTCGATACCAACAGCCAACACTCAACACTCGGGGGGGGGGGGGGGAGAGGAGAGGGGGGGGGGGGTGAGACGGATATACCAGTCAGACTGTTACTGGAGCCATCAAACCCGAAACTCTGTGCTTGCTGCTGAAGATGTGAGTTGAGTTGAGTTAAGTCAAGAATTGACATCACAGCACCAGAGGCATTACTATGCCTGCTCCGACCTTATCTTCAGCAGCCAGCGAAGAGTTCCAATACTGATGGTACCGGTCACAATCTGATTAAAATTCCGCCTTGCCTTTCCTCTGAGTGTAGTGAACCGACAAGACTCTCTGTTTACACCCAGGGGTCTCAGTCTCTCCAGGCCATAATAGTCTTCTTTCTCTACTGATTCCGTTGCTTATTCCCAAAGGGCCCTGACCACATCTACCTTGTCATGTGGAAGATGTGGACGGAGCGTTTATGGGAATATCCCATATGTGTGTTGATTCTTAATTCGACATTCAACATTTAATTGTTTTGTCTCTACTCAGTTAGCCGCTTTCATATTTCATACTGTTTAATTTTATTTGTTCACCCACTTGTAGCGTTAATTGCCTCACAGGGCGGATGCACAAAAACGTATCACGGTCTGGAGAGAATGGTGCTGCGGGGACCAGGGGAGCTAACCGATGCTCACGTTTGAGCGAAAAGATGGATCTACTATCAAACTGCCTTTAGCATCAGCAGAAGTAGAACTTTGTGCTGGCTGCTGAAGATGGGGACATAGCGCTAACGCGAATGTCTCGAGTGCTGTGATGTCTGCTGCTAACTCTGCTCAATTAAAAATGAGACCAGATTATTTAAAAAGTGCAGGCACGTTGTACAACCATGTTTAGTTCCGAGGTATTGGAGCTCAGGTCGCATGGGTCGGGAAAGGGGCTTGCAACTCTTAGTGTCATTATTGTGAAGATACTTTTCTCACGACCCAGTACCAGAGTACCGTCTCAAAGGGACTGTTGCAAGGCTCTATTTCTTGTATCAGAAATAAGTGGGATGTACGCGACTGGTACTGAAACTTCACAAATGTAGACAATTGTAGACAATCATGGCGATATCTCCAAAGGTAGTCTTGATAGCAATGTCTGGGCGGTATTATATGCTTGGATATAGCAATGTCTGGGGAAGGGGGGGGGGGGGGAAACTGCATACTGGGATATAGTAATGTCTAGGCAGTATTGCATACTAGGATATAGCAATGTCTAGGCAGTATTGCATCCTGGGATATAACAATATCTAGGCAGTATTGCATCCTTGGTTATAGCAATATCTAGGCAGTATTGCATCCTGGGATATAGCAATATCTGGGCAGTATTGCATCCTGGGATATAGCAATGTCTAGGCAGTATTGCATCCTGGGATTTAGCAATATCTGGGCAGTATTGCATCCTGGGATATAGCGATATATGCACGGTACCGTATTCTCGTTTACAGCAATATCTGTATAGTACCGTATTCTAGTATACAGCAATATCTGTATTGTACTGTACCTGGGGTATAGCAATATCTACATGGTTCTGTATCCCGGGATACGGTAATGTCTGCACGGTACTGTATCCTAGGATATAGCAATGTTTTCACGGTACTGTATCCTAGGATATAGCAATGTCTGCATGGTACTATATCCTAGGATATAGCAATATCTGCACGATACTGAATCCTGGGATGTAGCAATATATGAACAGTACTGCATCCTGGGATGTAGCAATATATGGACGGTACTCTATCCTGGGATTTAGCAAGGTCTGGATAGTTCTAGATGCTGGAATATAGCATGGACAGTGTTACAGTTTAGAATACAGCAATATCTGGGCAGTATTTTATCATCGGAATAATTAAAATCTTATTTCATCTGTAAATTAGTCTTCCGACACGCCCTATTTTTTTTAACACTCGATGGTCTATTCGGGAGAAGTCTTTAACCTTTTGACAGCGACAGGATTTTTTTTTAAACTCTACAAATTTAAAATGTCCTAATCATTAATGTCCGTAAAATTTGCAAAACATACAATACCACATCATCATTATTATCATCCTCATCAACACCATCATCACCATTAGCCCTGCCAACTGGCGTAGGCGCTCATGCGTCTCCACAGATCACGATAATTGGTTGCCTGGAATAGCTCTTTTGATGATATCCCTCCATGCCATCGTTTCAGCCCATCCAGCATCATATTGCCTGGTCTGCCTCTACCCCCCTTTTCCATTGATCTGTCCAGTTGTCACGATGTTCTCCAATGTCTCTCTTCTTATTATTTGGCCAAAGAACAATGTTTGTCTCTTTTTTATCATATCTACTAAAAATTAAATCAGCCAGCCTACCAGCCAGGCAACCATCCATCCACTTAACACCCAGCAAGCCAGGCAACCATCCATCCACCCAACACCCAGCAAGCCAGGCAACCATCCATCCACCCAACACCCAGCAAGCCAGGCAACCATCCATCCACCCAACACCCAGCAAGCCAGGCAACCATCCATCCACCCAACACCCAGCAAGCCAGGCAACCATCCATCCACCCAACACCCAGCAAGCCAACCAACCATCCACCCAACACCCAGCAAGCCAACCAACCAACCATCCACCCAACACCCAGCAAGCCAACCAACCATCCACCCAACACCCAGCAAGCCAACCAACCATCCACCCAACACCCAGCAAGCCAACCAACCAACCATCCACCCAACACCCAGCAAGCCAACCAACCATCCACCCAACACCCAGCAAGCCAACCAACCATCCACCCAACACCCAGCAAGCCAGCCAACCAACCATCCACCCAACAACCAGCAAGCCAGCCAACCAACCATCCACCCAACAACCAGCAAGCCAGCCAACCATCCACCCAACACCCAGCAAGCCAGCCAACCATCTATCCACCCAGCACCCAGCAAGCCAGCCAACCAACCATCCACCTAACACCCAGCAAGCCAGCCAACCAACCATCCACCTAACACCCAGCAAGCCAGCCAACCAACCATCCACCTAACACCCAGCAAGCCAGCCAACCAACCATCCACCCAACACCCAGCAAGCCAGCCAACCAACCATCCACCTAACACCCAGCAAGCCAGCCAACCAACCATCCACCTAACACCCAGCAAGCCAGCCAACCAACCATCCACCCAACACCCAGCAAGCCAGCCAGCCATCCATCCACCCAGCACCCAGCAAGCCAGCCAACCAACCATCCACCTAACACCCAGCAAGCCAGCCAACCATCCACCCAACACCCAGCAAGCCAGCCAACCATCTATCCACCCAGCACCCAGCAAGCCAGCCAACCAACCATCCACCTAACACCCAGCAAGCCAGCCAACCAACCATCCACCTAACACCCAGCCAGCCAGCCAACCATCCATCCACCTAACACCCAGCAAGCCAGCCAACCAACCAACCATCTATCCACCCAACACCCAGCAAGCCAACCAACCATCCACCCAACACCCAGCAAGCCAACCAACCAACCATCCACCCAACACCCAGCAAGCCAGCCAACCATCCACCCAACACCCAGCAAGCCAGCCAACCAACCATCCACCCAACACCCAGCAAGCCAGCCAACCAACCATCCACCCAACACCCAGCAAGCCAGCCAGCCAACCATCCACCTAACACCCAGCAAGCCAGCCAGCCAACCATCCACCTAACACCCAGCAAGCCACCAGCCAACCATCCACCTAACACCCAGCAAGCCAGCCAACCAACCATCCACCCAACACCCAGCAAGCCAGCCAGCCATCCACCTAACACCCAACAAGCCAGCCAACCAACCATCCACCTAAGACCCAGCAAGCCAGCCAACCATCCACCTAACACCCAGCAAGCCAGCCAACCATCCACCTAACACTCAGCAAGCCAGCCAACCATCCATCCACCCAACACCCAGCAAGCCAGCCATCCATCCACCTAACACCCAGCAAGCCAGCCAACCATCCACCTAACACCCAGCAAGCCAGCCAACCATCCACCCAACACCCAGCAAGCCAGCCAACCAACCATCCACCCAACACCCAGCAAGCCAGCCAACCAACCATCCACCTAACACCCAGCAAGCCAGCCAGCCATCCACCTAACACCCAGCCAGCCAACCATCCACCTAACACCCAGCAAGCCAGCCAACCATCCACCTAACACCCAGCCAGCCAACCATCCACCTAACACCCAGCAAGCCAGCCAGCCATCCACCTAACACCCAGCCAGCCAACCATCCACCTAACACCCAGCAAGCCAGCCAACCATCCACCTAACACCCAGCAAGCCAGCCAGCCATCCACCTAACACCCAGCCAGCCAACCATCCACCTAACACCCAGCAAGCCAGTCAACCTTCCACCCAACAACCAGCAAGCCAGCCAACCATCCAACCGAACATGTCTCTTGATACTTACAGAGCTTCATCCCATACAAAAGATACTGAAGATCGTGGGCGTCCTGTTCAGAATTTCAACATTACTTGGGATCCTCTACTGCTTTGTCTGTGCCCTGGGACTTCTCGAGGATGCTTTCCAGCTGTTGGGAGGTAAGTCCAGCAATAACCATGTAATGATGACAATCAGCTTTAACGTAATCACCATAACCACCACCGCCGCCACCACCACGACTAACACTACCATCACAACTACTACTATACTATTCGTGCAACCACCACTGCCACTACTATGCTACTACAATCACCCCCACCACCAGTACAACTACTACCACCACCATTATATACTACACTACTACTACTACCACCACTACTACCACCACAACAAACAATATCCGAATAAGGTGGATAGGCAGGCCAGTAGTTTTACTCTTGACAAGTTATCTACCCTTGCTGCAATTTCCCATATGCGGACTGAAAGTATATAGTCCAAAAGCAGCTCCTAAGTTGAGTGCATGGCGCGACACAGTGCGCAATGAGTTTCACTTGGAAGGATCTTCGACTGTAGCCAGGATGTTTTGTGTTGTGTACTGCAGAATTGGAAAATGGCGAGTGGTTCGTTGTCATTTAACTAGTGGTGCCTTCTGCAATATTACATGTATAATTGCTGATTTGTTGTAGCTACTGCTACTTTAAATGGTGAACTGACTGACTGTTCCCATGAGGTTGATTAGAATGTCTCCTATCTTGACCTTGAAGACTGCGTCTGTGTTCTTCACCAGGCTTCACTCCGAGATCACGTAGTCGTGACAGCGTCAGAGAGCCGTTAAGATTCCCTAGTATAGTTCACATAGTCAACGATATCTGCTCTGTCTGTGTGTCATCCCACAAGCACATGTGCAATACTTTCCAGCGGTTCCGCTTGTTCATTACTCCGACATATCCAATTGTGTATATCCACGTGGGAGAAGTTAAGAATGATTTCCGAATGCTGTCTGTCCAATTAGAGCGCAGGCAGTGATATATTTCAACCGGCTCTTGACCACCTTTAATACACTATTGCAACATTAAACATCCTGATATATTATTAGTTTGTCTTCATGCTTTATCTGTGTTTAAAAAAAAAAAAATCCAAAAGGTCGAACGGCCGGAGAGACGTTCCGGAACAGTCAGCTTCTGTCCAACCCGGTGGCAGGTCTGATGATTGGTGTCCTCGCCACAGTCTTGGTGCAGAGTTCCTCCACAGCAACATCCATCGTTGTCGCCATGGTCGCTTCAGAAGGTATCACGTGACTTCTTATTTTCCTTAGCGTTCACCAGCTATAAACTCCGGCAGTGTTCTGGTTGTTCGTCCACTTCTGGACCGTGGTCTTGATCAAGAGCTTAGGTTGTGCGTGTAGATCCATCCGCTTCACAGATCTAGGTTCTTTGTATGCAGACTGTTGACTCCTTGCCTCTCAGGCAGATGCACTCCGACTGTGAAGGAAACACCCGTAATTAGTAGTTGCCTGCGACATACTTAGGGGTGGAAGGGGGGGGGGGGCATGGGGTCTATTCTTTGTTCTCCAAATTAGAGCCCTTGATCAAATATGGGGAATATTGTAACCGAAGTAGATTTGTTGTAGATTTTTTAAAAAAGTGTTTATGTTCACATTAGATACAAATTCTCTTTATGTACAAACAAAAGCAAAATCAATAAGGTGATGTGATAAAGATGATGATGATTCGTACCTTCCTCCACCAACATTGAAAAGAAAGTAGAGACAGGAGGAGGCAGAGAGGACCGGGGTTTGGAGAACAGCAGGGGCCACTCGTTTTGTTGGTGGAAGCGGTACGTTTTCATGGTGATGTTTTACATTTTTCGAAATATATATACAACAGAAGAAAGAGGGCGCACGAAAACGTAGCAAACGGACAGGGCACGGGAAGCAAAGGAAAGGACAGACAGCACCACTCATTATTTTTTACATTTCCTTTCGGCTGGTATCAATTTTTGTGAAAGGTGAAAAATTTGGCATTTTATCAATTATTTACATTCCAGATCAAGTTACAAAAAGGACTTTATGAATATGTAAACAAATACCAGAGAAAAGAAAGGGACACAACCACGTAGCAGGCGGACAACGGCGGTTTTGTTGTAGATGTTTTGTGGTGCATTAGTACAATGTCATTGTATACGAATATCTTCATAAGTGCCCAAGTCTTCTAACAAAGATCGTTTAAGAAGAAACAGCTAGCCCACGAACTGACTGACTGACTTACTTTCTACCCCACTAGGACATCACACAAGCGATAAACACCCGATGACACAAGGTGCCACCATGTAGATGAGGATCACCGTGGAGAGGTCCCAGAAACCGCGTTCAGACAATTGGCCAAATTTATGGCCTGCCTATATTGCGGCCCCTGTCAAAAGCCAGGGTGGGGCTTCAAATAACAACAAATGTCATTCTAAAAAGGACGTATAGATTATCTTCCCTATATAGCCCACGAACTTCGAAGCACGGCTAGCGATTATTTGTGATTAAAAACACTTTCTAGGAAAAAAAAATTAGCCTGCTAATGGCATTAGGGCGACTTTTTTCTAAGTTCAATGGGTTTTTAATCTGCTAACCATAAATCTCTGTGTAAAGCCAAGAAAAAATTCATTAGAAAAAAAAAAAAAAATACACTGGCTGAAGTGCAGTCAAACGCTGGCAGAAACTATAAATAAACAGATGGGGGAACCATTTGAAGCCGTTAAATATTATGAATTAATCAAGTAACAGAAAGTATTGTGAGCGGCACTCATAGAAAGAAACTAGAATGTTGGCAATAGAGAGAACAGGGGAAATAAGTTATTCAAAGTTCGATAATAACAATTCATCATTGACTGACCAGATTTCTTTGGTCGTGTTTTTGTGTGTGTTCCATTTCATCTCAATACAGTTCAGAATGGTCCATGTAAGCATTATTGATTTTATACGGTTATGTCTATTATTTCGTTTTACTTGTTTACATAATATTTGATTACTGGTATGTAGTAATTCATGTCAATTGATTTGTGTGTGTTTTGTTTCTTGGTTTCTTACCCTGGCTGCTGCCGGGGGCCCTGAATATAGATTACAAATATATATGGCAACGCCATAGATATGACTAAACAGCTAAAAGGAGTTTGTGGGACCCCTCCACGGGTGATCCTCATCCGCATGGTGGCACTTTGTGTCACCGGGTGTTTATTGCTTGTGTGATGTCCTTCCTGGTGGAGTACAACTACTACGTACATTAGTTTCTTGTCGTTGTTATGCTGATAAAGGCTAATTGCCGCAATATCCTCTGTTTGTTTATTAAAAGAGGTTATGTAAAGCTGATATATGCTTTGTGTTTTTCTTACAATTATCTGTCTTTTGTCTTCTCTGTCTTTTGCAATCTGTTTGGATCTGTTCTCTTCAAATACATTACACAGTGAGAATCTCCACACAATGGAGCCCACTCGATAACCTCTGCGAGGATCAGTCTGAAGTTTGAATATGGAGCAGGGCAAAGCATCCAACTATGTTTATAAGGGAAAGCACCTCTGATGTGTGAGGAGGTTTGTCAGTAAATATCCCAGTGAACCAGTTTTCTGCAGTGTGCTGTCGGATCTATTGTGTAGCAGAACAGAGTACCATGAGCTGACTGCAACGACTACAGTCTGAAGTGAACTTGATTAGAAAAATTGCAACGTAACTTCACTAAACTTCTATGAAAACTGGACCAAACTTCACTAGAATAAGCTGAAAACTTGAATTTTAATTCACCGCAAACAAAGAAAAGTTCGGGAATTTCCGGGATAGTCCAAACACATCAACTGACATCAAAGTGGTTTCCTTTGCGGTTAAAATATGTTTAAAAAACAATTTGCGTTTTGTAAAACTCTAACTCTAACGCTAATCCCAACTCGTGCTAAAGGTAGCTACCCTGAATATAGCTGCGAGTTTAGGGTGAATTAAAACTGAAGTACCCTCAGCTGAATGCTGTCTCGACGGACTGAACTTGACTAAATTGAACCGAAAACTGAACTGACTTGATTGGAATGAACTTCATTGAATTATTGTTATCTAAGGAAACACATTTAAACAAATGTTAGTCTTCCCAAACAAAGTAGGTCACGTTCCATTGATAAGTTTTTCTGACTAGTCCACCTTGGTGGAGGTTACGGGTGTGCCGCTCTTTTGTTGGCTTTCTTGGTTGTCTTGCATTTACGTTTTTTTCCCCCGAGAAAGAGAATGCCTGTGACATAGGTTTCATCATTCTCTAAAGGGGTTTTGTTTTAGACCTAGTTTGTCAATGTTTTTGGAGTGTTAAAATCACTGGCATGCTGAAATATACAACAAGTGATATCAAAGGCATTCCGGAACACTCCGTAACATTGTGCCAAGAACACGTGGCTCAAGGTCGACCAATCAGAAGTGAGCTAGGCTGAAGGTCGAACAATCATAATTGAGCTAGTGTGTAACACTGTGTAAATTGGGAGAGCAACGTTACCATTACCGGAAACACATAGTACTCATTCTGTAAATTATAATGCAGACAATAACACACAGAAACTAACACGAATGCTTTCCCCTCCCCCACAGTGATCCCCCTTCACTCGGCCATCCCAATCATCATGGGCACAAATGTGGGCACTTCCATCACTAGTACTCTGGTATCATTGGCTCAAGCAGGTGAGAGGTCAGAGTTCAGGAGGGCATTTGCGGGAGCCACTGTAAGTATAGTTTTATGTCTACCCCTCCCCTTTACCCTTCTCTTTTCCCCATTTACCCTATCCCCTATTTGTCATTTACAAACTTCATCATGATCATCATGTGCCCTGCCAACTGGAGTAGGGGCTCATGCGTCTCCACAGATCACGATCCCTAGTTGCCTGGAACAGCTCTCTTGATGATATCACTTCATGCCATCAATTCAGCCCATTCAGCCCACCCAGCATCGTCTCTTTTGGTCTGCCTCTACCCCTTTTTCCACTGATCTTTCCAGTTGTCACGATGTTCTCCAATGTCTTTCTTCTCATTATGTGGCCAAAGAACAGTGTTTGTCTCTTTCTTATTTTTGTATATAGAGATCTACTTTCATTAGCCTCTTTAGAGCAATCCTCTCTCGTCCTGGTTTTACACTTTCTCAAACTGCTGCCCGTCCATTCCTCATGTTATCCTCCCGATTATTTCGTTGACTACCTCTTGTTTATTTGTCTTTGACCTTACCCTCCAGTATGGTTTTTAAAAACGTGTCTTTTAATGTGGCCAAAGTATTTCAATTGTCTCCGTTTTCCCCAGTAATTCTCTTTTTATGTGAAGCCTTTCTATTGCCTCTGTATTGAACAGTGTTTGTTTCTATGAAATACGACCAATTCTTCTGTATACCCATATCTCCAGGGAAGCAGTCCGATTTTCTAGAAGTTTTTCATTATCCATATAGTAGGGCTGAGTATCCATATCAGTTGACAATTCTCATTTGATTCTCATTTTCAGTGTGTTGTTTATCTCCCTAACTGTCAGTAACTTGCGCATCTTACTGAAGACAGTTTTAGCCATTCCTGTTGTCTTATTTTTTTCAAGATCATTGCCGGTGCTACTGAGTTCGTGCACTGAGCTGAGATTCTTTAGACTCAGGCTTGAGTTAGAAGTAGATCGGAGCACTTATGGGCTACTACCCTTGTGCTATGATGTTGATCTGTTGTTCAAACTATCAGACTATTGTCTTTTTGATTTATGTTTCGTATCTTCTAACATCTGTTACTACTAGATAGGAAAAACTTGTTGCTTGTTCTAAAAACTCTCCGTTTATTGTGATGTTCACTGTTCCCCTCTCCTTTCCAGAAAGGCTGCACTCTCTCGTGGGATGTAGGTGGGTTGGGTTTAGGTGGGTTGGGTTTAGATGGGTTGGGTTTAGGTCCAATTCTAGGAGTTTTGGGGAAGTTCAAAGCACTACGGTCTTGTTATATGGCCAAACCTCTTGATCTGTTGTTAATCAATAAAGTTCTTACCACCCTATACAATATTGGACTGTCCCGGTGACGTCATCTGGGATGACATATAAGGAAAGAACTGTTGTTTTTGGTAGCACATAGAACTGGCACCCTTTAAGGTATCACTGTTTCAGATTTACTGTCCTAGCACCTTTGTTAAAGAAAGTTTGTGGTAAATACAATTATTTTTCTTCTATAAATTAAAAAAGCTCTATGTAGAAATATATATGTGATATGTGTGTGTGTGTGTGTGTGTGTGTGTGTGTGTGTGTGTGTATCGAAGTGAAGGACTTTTCCCCACTCTTTCGGGCTTATTTGGGCATGAGGGGCTAGACTTGTGTTTTATTTTTTATAGACCACACGAAGAGTGATGTGCCAACATCAAACTGGCCGCCTTTACTTTCATTGACTTTACCTGTTACTCCTTTATGGATACATTTAAGGTTGACCTCTTTCGCTTTATTTCTCTCTCTCTCTCTCTCTCTCTCTCTCTCTCTCTCTCTCTCCCCCCCCCCCATGTAGATATAAATGTATATATACACACATACATACACGCACACACACACAACTGGGATAAATGATGTAACAAATAACACCGGCTTGTCTGTGGTACCAGGTACATGACATGTTCAACTGGAGTGCCGTGATCATCCTGCTTCCGCTTGAGGTGGCTTCAGGCTACCTGTACCACCTGACCAGGGCCATAGTCAGCTCACTGGACCTGCACGTGTCCACCCAGAAGCCGCCCATGCTGACCTCCATCACAGAACCCTTCGTGCATCTCATCGTAGAAGTAGGTGTCTTTATTTCACTCACATTTGCTTGTACCAGTGTTTCCCAAACTGTTCTTAGTCGCGGCGCCTTTTTAATTAACATTATTTTCACCGCGCCCTGACCTAAAAAAAAGTATGACTATTCGTATATAAGAGAGAAAAAAAAAAGATAAAAAATAAATAAATAAATAAATCGTGTATCTTCGAATACTTCGCAGCGCCCCAGTGAAGAGATTGCGGCTTCCCGAGGCGCCGCGTCGCACAGTTTGGGAAACACTGGCTTATACAATGCTTCAGCTTAATATTCAGAACCTGGCCTTTGAAGCAGACTAGCTTTAAAAGTATTATCTTGTTCTCCTTCGATCCTTCTGTCGGAAAACTTATATCAGGAGGCTGGTAGCCTTTATGAAAGCTATCGTGCAATACATATCCTCTCGTGTACCACACAGTTTTGTCTTCATTGTGGTTGGAACAGGCCACATTGCCTCTCTAACATAGTTGGAAGTCTTGCAGCACATGCTCAGCATTTGTGGGTGCGGCGCTACAGGCACAGGTGTCCATGTTTCTTACACCGACAAGTTTGAACCTATGAAAAGTAGTGTACCAGGGGCAGGGCTAAAGGTGCATGAGCTCTAAGCCTCCGACGCCTATGTCTACCTCACTCAAGAGACTCTCGCAGGTGAACTGACCCCTTCTTTAGCAGCCACTGTAGTTCACATGCTGATAGCCAATGTCATTTGATGAGAGGTCTGCCTTTTTTTTCTCTCTGCTATTAAAGATATTCATCAAGACGAACAACCACACAGTGTCCTCCTCCTCCTCCTCCTCTTGCAGGCGGAGATTTCCGGAACGGGCCCTTCTGTTTGCTTCGTATCTGGTACTTTTCGGTGTCTCTGATACTACTGCGGTCCAATGTCTGCCTGGTCAATTTTTGGCTCTCTTATCTTTGTATCTGTATAACATTGCTCTCTGTGGGGCCCTGTCTGTTTCCAGTCTTCTTACATGGCCAAACCATTTGACTTGTTGTCAACCAATAAAGCTCAGTAGTGGTTTGTGTCTACTCTCCTCTTTATACCATCGTACTGAATGTGCTGACAATTACATAGTAGCAGTGCACTTCTTTTGAAAAAAGACTAAAGAGTGAATATTTATTTGTGGAAGAAAAGAACTAACAAACATTTCCTGTGCAGATCAACCGTGACGTTATAACTTACAAGCATTGCCACTGCAGATCAACCGTGATGTTATAAATTACTAACATTTGCCTCTGCAGATCAACCTTGACGTTAAAACGTACAAACATTGCATTTGTAAATAAAACATGACGTTATAACTTACAAACATTGCCTCTGCAGATCAACCCTGACATTAAAACTTACAAATATTGCCTGAGCAAATCTACCGTGACGTTATAACTCAAAAACATTGCATTTGTAAATCAAACATGACGTTATAACTTACAAACATTGTCTGAGCAAATCAACCGTGACGTTATAACTTACAAACATTGCATTTGTAAATCAAACATGACGTTATAACTCACAAACATTGCCTCTGCAGATCAACCGTGACATTATAACCCACAAACATTGCCTCTGCAGATCAATCCCGACGTTATAACTTACAAACATTGACTCTACAGATCAACCGTGACGTTATAACTTACACATATTGCCTGTGCAGATCAACCGTGATATTATAACTTACTAACATTTGCCTCTGCAGATCAACCGTGACGTTATAACTTACTAACATTTGCCTCTGCAGATCAACCGTGACGTTATAACTTACAAACATTGCCTCTGCAGATCAACCGTGACGTTATAACTTACAAACATTGCCTGTGTGTGCAGATCAACGGTGACATCATAACTTACTAACATTGCCTCTGCAGATCAACCGTGATGTTATAACGGACATCGCCATGGAGCCAAATGTCACGGAGCAGTCGTCTGTCATGAAACGGTGGTGCCAGGTGACAATGACACAAAAGACGGTATCAGTCATGCGCTACGACCCAGTTGAGGTGGACTGCAGCCAGGTCACCCGAGGCTCTCCCTTCTACTCCAGCTGTACTTCCAAAAACATTCTCAACACCGGAAGTTCAGGCGGACCTGGAACTATGGGCTTTTTCCTTGGGTGGAATGAGACAGAAGTGATCAATTCAACATTGCATAGAACCAAATGTAAGTTTGGCATGTTGTTTGTTTAATCTTTAGGTCTTTAAATCTTTGGTACTTTCTTATTAAACGACCACAAACAAGGAAAAACCACAGATCACGGGAGAGTCGAATATTTCAGGGGGTGGTAGATTAAGCGTTTAGTTTTGGTTAGGTAAACGCGCGAAAACCTTGACTTTGGAAGAAACGCGCTAAGGCACAGAAAACCCGCTCTTACCACCCTCTAAAATATTGGACTGTTCCGTGAGGTCATTTGTGGTCGGCCAAAGAGAAAGCACCAACTCTTTTAATGGGATTTGTTTTGTCTCATATTTAACGTCATTTATTTCATTTTTTAAAATTTCATTTGTTTCACAAACTGATTATCATTGATTTATACTTTTTGAGTTGAGTTTTTGTTTTTGTTTTTTAACGTTAATGTAAGTTTCTAATTTTTGATGTTATTTATTTAAGCTTAAATATAATCCTTTTTAACTTTAATACCATTGTAATGACATTTGTTAAACATTTATTTAATCTTTATTGTTGTTTAAAATACACAGGTTCACGATTTTGTATCTGGAATAGACAGTCCTTGTTATACAGATCTTGTTAGATACTTTAGATAGTGTTTTTAAGAGTCACCTAAAAGTTAAGTAATTTTATTTTATAATACGCCTATGTTCAGATTTGAACCCATAATCCTCGGATCCGCATGCGAGTGTCTAGCCGCTGTAGCTCGGCGGCTCATGAAAACTGTAGCTGTAGTACTCCTTTTAAAAAAAAGTCACGGAAAGATATAAATTAGAACAGCGAGTTTCACAATAAAACAAACACGAACGAAAAGTGAACGTTGCGACTACAAAGCCATCATCGGCGCAATTATAAACTAAACAAAAACCATGCGAATACACAAAAATCACTCAACTGACGTACCCCAACAAAGCCACGTTAACGTCCCCATCTTAGAAACAGTAACTTAGAGACAGTAACTTTAAGACGGTCTCTGTGAGACAATGACACTTAAGACACTCATTTTAACACGATTTCGCTCAGACAATCAGTTAAGACAAACATTTTAAGATAATCCTTCTAACAGTCACCTTAAGACGCTCCCTTTACTAAATTTCTTGTAACTCAGTCACTTTGACGGACATTTAAGACAGTCCCAATAAAACAGTTTTTAAGACAATTACTTAAAGGTAGCCTCATTAGACCCCCCCCCCCCCCCACCAAACACACACACACACACTGCTGTCTGATTTAGACAGTCACTTATAGCATTGACTTTAAGACAACCCCATTAGTGCAATTCCGTGAGGCATTCCTTTTAAGACAGTCGCAGTAGGACAATTACTTAAGGCATCCACGCTAAGATAGTTCCAGTAAGACAGTTACTGAAGACACTCTCTTTAAGAGTTCAAGAATTCTCATTGAGACAGTTACTGGAGACACTCACTTTAAGACAGTCTGAGTAAGACAATTACTTGAGACATTCACTTTAGGACAGTTTCAGCAAGACAATTACTTGAAACATTCGCTTTAAGACAGTTTCAGTAAGACAATTGCTTGAGACATTAACTTTAAGACAGTTTCAGTAAGACAACTACTTGAGACATTCACTTTAGGACAGTTTCAGCAAGACAATTACTTGAGACATTCACTTTAGGACAGTTTCAGTAAGACAATTACTTGAGACATTCGCTTTAAGACAGTTTCAGTAAGACAACTACTTGAGACATTCACTTTAGGACAGTTACTTAAGACACCGAGTTTAAAGCAGCCTAAAGTGCACAACACATTTCCTACTGCAGGCAGCAACCTGTTTGCCTTCACTGACCTCACAGACAAGGCCGCCGGGGTCATCCTGCTGGTCATCGCCATTATTGTGATCCTGTCTTCCCTCTTCGGGATTGTCAAGATCCTCAACTCCATGCTTCAGGTAATTTCCGTTTAAACAAACAAATCCAGCCAACCAACATTGTCACGTATCAAGTTGTCATCTTTCCGGCTTTCCAGACGATAGTGTTATATTATGATGGGAGGAAGAGTGGGACTCACAGCCCATGGCGATGGCGAGTGTGACTAGCAGTTCCTCCTCTCCACAGCACAAGACCTGGGCAGTCTTGTAAATACTATATGTTGCCCATGCAGCTTGATCCCTTTCTTGGCCTGCCTTATTTATTCAATAGGAAAAAGTAATACTAGTATGTTTACAGCAAAGCACGCTGCAGAAGCCACCGGATCTACAGAGCAGTGCCAGAGCTTCTCTTCTAGATCAGCTGCCAGCCAAGACTAAGGCCTGGTCTGCCCTGCATAACATAAAGTTTTCAGCTTGCATTTCCTCTTCTTAGGAGAAGACTAGTATCCTTCCCTCTGCGCTCCTGCGATCGAAGTGGTTGGCACAATATGGGATGTCAGGTTTGGTATAAGCTGCCCAACATTCGGTGTTAACAGAAGACAGGTGGTACCGGCTACTTTTAAACAGTAGTTCAGTCATGTCTGACTAAGACCTGACCCACGTCAGGTATCAACCGATACCAGTTTTGCAACACCCGTCATACCAATCCTAGTAGTAATCTTTCAAAAATATCCTGTTCAACACTCAGGGTAATAATTAGGATATATAGTGTTAACTGAGTTCTCAGAGTTGTATTTATTTTAAATGTATAGATCATGTAAGTTTGCATCGGTGGCTTAGGTGTTGTGAGCGAGTTTCGTAATGCCAGGGGGTCCGACTTTATCCCTGCTGCAGGACCTTGCGCTGGTTTCGACACTGGCATCGAGAAGACGACAGTCCAGAAAGCAGTGGCAAACTACTAGACGTAAATTTGCCTACAAAAACCACAACAGCCACAAAAGGCTTGGGTGGTTCTGCAACGTCATTTAAAGGATATGGCACCATTAGTATCGAAACTCTTTGCTGGCTGCTGAAGATGGGGACGGAACACTTATGGGAATGTCCCGAGTGCTGTGATGTCGGTTCTTGAATCAAATCAAATCAAATCAAGGATACGCAACTAACGAAATGTAAAATGTAATTTGTATTGTTTCACATTTTGCTTTGATTTGGGTTGTGGTTATGATAGAAATTTTACAATGAATGATTAGACAGTCTTGCTAACATTGTTGCATTAAACATCATCAGTTCTCGTTGTGCCTAGTGGCACATGAGGATTCAGAGAGGACTTTCCACGCTTTCCTGTCCTGTGCAATCTTCAGTGCAGTTTTCCATGTCAAAGATGCCGCACTCAGGTCACTTTCCATCGTTCTTCTCCATGTTGTTTTTGGGCGCCCCTGTTTTTCTCTTTCCCTCTGGTGTCCATGTGAGAGCTGTTTTAGCAGGTATATCAGGATTCATTCTCATAACGTGGCCAAGCCATTTTCATCTTCTCTTGATTATCATATTGTCTAAAGTTTCTTGGTTTGTGACTTGAAGTAGTTTAGTGTTTGAGATTGTATCTGGCCAGAAAATTTTGATAATTCTATGAAGACATGTGTGGTGGAAGGTAGACAGCTTGTGTACATCGTTTTTGGTCATTCTCCAGCATTCCGCTCCATGTTGCATTAAACTGGGGATATATTGTTTCCTTAGTGTGCAATCTTTGATACCAACCGCGTACTGTAAGTGTTTAGATTGGACATTGACTAAAAAACATGAAAGACACTGAGTACATGCCAAATGAGATGTTTAAGAAAGGCCGTCAAAAAATCTAGAAGAGATCATGTGTGAAACGAAGAAATTACAAGAACTATTGGAACAACACCTCAGCCTAAATTCATTGAAAAACAAAGACTGAAATGATTTGACCATTAATAATGACTTCAGTTATACAGAAATGAGAGCGAACAACAAGAAAGTAGTAACCAAGAAGTAGGGGACGACCAAGGCTAGGTACCGTTGACAATTCTGACCACTATCTCACATCTCGTGACCTATAATGTGTGAAGGCTTAACTATCAGGCTGCAGCTCTAACGGCTGTATTTTATCTGAACTATATCGGTCTTTATGCAGAAAGAGACAAAAATGCAGAGAACATATCCAAAGGGCAATGTGATGCGATGTTATTCACTCTATATGGTGCATGTCTGTCTCCACATTTCCCAGCATGCTCTAAGAAGGTCACGGTTAGGGAGCATACTTTGGATCTTTCCTCCAAGCTATGCCGGCGTAGTGGGTAATAAACAGGCAGACATATTGGCTGGATGGATCTGCACCACTGGGTGGTGAATTGATACATGACAAGGCAGACGGGGTCAAGGCCCTTTGAGAACAAGCAACGGAATCAGTAGAGAAACAAGATTATTATGGCCTGGAGAGAATGAGGCACCTGGGTGTAACCAGAGGGTCTGGCCGACTTACTACACTCAGAGGAAAGGCAAGACGGGCATTTAACCAGATGATGACCGGTACCATCAGTATTGGAACTCTGCACTGGCTGCTAAGGATGAGGACGGAGCACGCGTGGGAATGCCCTGAGTGATGTGATGTCAATTCCTGACTCAACTCAACTCTGCATGCTCTGTAAATTAGTTACAGTTACAACAGGTATAATTAGCTGGTTCGCAAGCCAACGGAAAGTTGCAGTAACTGCTTCGATCTCTTCTCAAAACTTAATGTTGTAGTATCGACGTTGCTTTCAAACGAATCTCTTGTCTACGCATCATTTGAAACAATTGTTTTTAAAGAACGACTGTATGCATATTAAATTATACACAAAATAAATTCACGAACTAAATTCATGTGGAATCTTCTCTGCCAGGGATCTGTAGCCAAAGTTATCCAAAGGACAGTGAACGCTGACTTTCCTGGCAAGTTTGCGTACTTCACTGGCTATGTTGCCCTGCTGGTTGGTTGCGGGCTTACGGTTGTTATACAGAGCAGCTCGGTATGTCTTTCATCACATACTAGACTATTATATCATCATCCTTATCATCAAGACAATCGTCATCATCGTCATCACCACCACCACCAAAACAATTACCATCATCATTATCAAAATCGTCATTTAGCAAGTCTTATGCAGACAGTTGGCGACTGTGGCTTAGGCGTTGCGAACTCGCTTTGTAATTCCGTGGTGCTGGGTTGATTCCATCTGCAGGCGATTTGCTATCAGACCAGTTTGCGTTTATTTCAACATTGGTACAGAAAGCCGGCCATCAGATAGCAATGGAACACTACTAAACGTAAAATTGTTTATTGAAATCACAAATAGCCAAAAAAAAAATACTTGGGTTTGTTCCGCGACGTCATCTAAAGGACACGCAGTTCGTTTTTTAAATGCTGAAAATCACCATTATGTGTGATTTCTTTGGAGACTCACAGACTGCAACAGATATTAAAATAAAGACTTGTTTGGCATATTTTACATATCAACACTCTGTGGATGATGTGGTCAGCATCACGCCGGCTGCTTTTACTTCCCATGACTTTACCTAGTACCAATTTAAGGCTGGGTCGAACTGGGAGTGGAATTTTGGGGAAAAAGTCCGGCTCAGTCAGAACCCGAATCTACAACCTTCGAATCCACAGACGAGCGTCTTTCCCCTATACTACAGTGGCTCCCATGTAATCAATACGAGAATTAAGGAACAATTCACGTTTCCAGGCCCATCTTGGTCAGCTCCGCACATTTACACACTACGTAACTTTTCATGTGTAGTTGGTTGGGCTAGTCGACCTTGGTCAATGTTAGATTAGTGTGCCGCAGTAATTTGATATTCACACAGCGCTATGCGATATGTCTTAATTATTATTCTGGGAGTCTGGGTCGCCTACATTGCGTACTCGCTCATAAGCAGTACTAGTGTTGGTGTATATATGAGAGCAATCTGAAATTTTCAGTAGGAAATCAGTTTATTTGAGAGGGTAGCGTTGCATGTCTGCAGGAACAGAGCCTTGTGCGGACCACTGATGCCCACATCAAGATGTTAAGAAGTCAGAAACCACGGCACGTAGAATACACTGTCCCTACGGACCTAGGTTCAGCGTGTCGGGAAGCAGAGTTTGTGGTTAGGACCAGTTGTACATGTTATGTGGTCGTTTAAGGCGCTCACAGGATCAAACATAGAGCACGCGTCGTCGCTAGTAGGAGATTCGACCAAGCTGAGATTCCTGCCACTTACAATTGCGCGTCGCAAAGGTTAAAGTAGAGAATGAACGTCCAATCACAGTGTCCTGCGCAGACTCCGTCATTCGTAGGTGTGTAGGTGGGTGGAGCCTGGGCATGGAAACTTGAGAAGAACAGATCATTCGTTATTAGTTTTTTTGTAGTTTAATTTGCCTTGCAATTTTGTGAAATATTATGTTATCAAATACTTGCATCTTTTCAGGTGTTCACTTCAACACTGACACCTCTGGTTGGCGTGGGAATCGTGTCGGTGGAGCGAATGTACCCGATGACTTTGGGCTCAAACATCGGAACCACTGTAACTGGCATCCTGGCAGCCATGTCAGTCAAGGGGAAGCACTCAGACCAGGCCCTGCAGATAGCTCTTTGCCACCTCTTCTTTAACCTGACAGCAGTCGCCATATTCTATCCCATTCCTTTCATGAGATTCCCTATTCCTCTAGCCAAGATGCTGGGAAGAATCACGTCTAAATACCGCTGGTTTGCGGGTGTGTATCTAGTCGGCATGTTTCTCGTCATTCCAGTGATTGTCTTCGCTTTGTCTTATGCCGGCTGGATCTACTTGTTGATAGTGGGGGGTCCTCTATTTTTACTGTTTCTCGTAGTTACGATAATCAATGTTCTACAAGTTAAGCATCCGAATTACCTCCCCCTGCGATTGAGAAACTGGGAATTCCTGCCCTTGTTTTGTCACTCCTGCTCCCCCTATGACAGAATCATCTCCTGTCATTGTCTAACTGCCCACTGTCCGAAGTTTGATGACAGCGATGATGAGGAATATGATGATGACAGTGAGGAAATCAAGGTTCCGGAAGTAGACGACCATTTTAGACGCCATCCCCAAGTTATAGCGGGCAATGTCAAAGGTCAGAGCCTCAGTCTGGCTTGACTTTAACGATTTTTGTAAGACATAAAATTCACCAAACATTTGCTGATTACCTCATACATCACTCACTTGATTAAAACTTCCGCCTGAGACAGGTTAACGGAACATATTTTCCCAAGTTATTATTTCAACTTTATTGCACAAAGCAGCATGAGAAGATTCTTGAGAGTCTATTGTCATGGCATGGAGGAGTGTCAACACACCAACTTATACACGCAGTTGCAGATCGCAAATTGTGGAGATGCATGATCGCCCATGCCAGTCGGCAAGGCACTTAATGATGATAAATTGCACTTAACATTGACTACTTGAGAACAGTAGATGACATCGTCAGTCATTGGGTCTTTTGCAGAACCTCGCTTTCGTCACGGCTCGCTTTCGTCACGGCACGCCTGAAAGTCTCTCTTTCTCTAGCTAATTCTCCAGCCCTAAGTTCTTTCATAGACAATGCATCTTCAGTGTCTTGTATCCCCCTTCGCGGAGGTTTGTCTCTGCCTCGTCTTCCAGAAACGGCACCTTCCATCACTGTTACGTCCAGGCCATCATGGCGTTTGACATGACCAAAATACCTCAGCTTTCAGGACAAGATGCTTTTTATGAGCCAATTCTCCTTGACGCTCAGATCATGTAGTATATCTGTGGTTTTCTCCTTCCTGGCCCATGGTGTTCTCAGAATAATATGGCAAGATAAACAAGAAATTATTACATTTGAGCTACCAGTGCCAACATGGACCCTTACTGCAACTATTAAGCGGAAGATCGTAACAATAGAGATGAGATGTTTTAGGAGAGTTGCCGGTGTGACAAGAAGAGATAAAATAAAAGAGAATTAAGAAATTAGAAGAAGACTAGGACTGAAACCAGTCACACAATTCATTAAAGTGCAACAAATAAGATGGTTTGGCCACCTGACGAGAATTCCCTGGCACCAACTGCCACAGAGAGCCACGGTGAAGAAATATAAGAAACACAGAGCTAGGGAAAGATCACACAAGAGATGGAATATTAGGAGTAGCCTAACAGATATAAAAACCAACTTGTATAATGCATTGAAAAAAGCGCACAAACGATCCTCACAACTCCTCCCAACACCTCGCTGAGGTAAATGGGGGAAGAAAAGAAGAAGAAGAAGGAGAAGAAGAAGAAGAAGAAGAAGAAGAAGAAGAAGAAGAAGAAGAAGAAGAAGAAGAAGAAGAAGAAGAAGAAGAAGAAGAAAAAGAAGAAGAAGAAGAAGAAGAAGGAGAAGAAGAAGAAGAAGAAGAAGAAGAAGAAGAAGAAGAAGAAGAAGAAGAAGAAGAAGAAGAAGAAAAACAAGAAGGAGAAGATGAGGATGAGGAGCGATTAATTATGTGGTGAATACTTTCCTTGGGTGGTGTGACGCATATTTGACATGACCCAGATCCTTGGGATCGAGTGAACAGAGCGGAAGCGCGAATAGATCATTACGGAGTGAAGAAAGTGCAGCGGAGAATAAGCAGCGGATCTGGCCAACATTCTAAACTCAAAGAAAAGACAAGACGCACGTATAATTATCAAACTGTTCTCATCGGGATTGGAACTTTCGCTGGCTGCTGAAGATAGGAATGAGCGCTTATGTGAATGTCCTGAGTGTTGTTATGTCGATTCTTAACTGAATAGTTTCTATCAAGGTTATACTTCTTTCAAGCAGCAAGTCCACTGAAAACGTTGATCACATCAGAGCTCACAAGAAAGACCATCGATCTTGTGTTAGTTTCCCTTTAATGTCCAGTGTCCACCTTGGCGCTCCTTAACCCCTGTAAACGACCCCCCTCCCTCCCACACATACTGGACTACTGGTAACTTCTTAAAAATTTGTGGTATCCCAGCATAACTGCACTGTAGGGCTATACCTTAAATATACGTCGGCGTCTGTGGCTTAGGAGTTGCGAACGGACTTCGTAATGTCGAGCTGCAGGGTTCGATCCACTTTCTATCTTGCGTTGGTTTCGACAGTGGTACCCAGAGCTAACCATTCAGATGCAATGGCAAACTACTAAAGGTAAAATTTGCTTGGAAAAATCACAACAGCCAACACATGCTAGGGTTGGCTCTGCAACGTCCTGTAAAGACTACGTAACTAACTTTATATGGCTATACGGTTGAACGGTGTTTCCAGCATTTGTAGTTGTTTGATTCTCGTATCTGAGATGGTAATCGTGCAGATTGAAATCGTGGGGGAAAAAGAGGAGGGGATGGGGGGGGGGGGGGGGGCTTAAAAAAGGGAGCTTGGGAGCTGCCTCCTGTTCTACGAAACACGGCTTTTACTAACCTTTCTTTCGAAATTACTGTGTCAGAAGAGAAACACGATTAGTATGGCCTGGAAAGATTGAGGCACCAGGGTCTAGCCGTCTCACTACACTCAGAGGAAAGGCAAGACCAACACAACCATATTGCGATCGGTACCATAAGTATTGGAACTCTGCGCTGGCTGCTAAAGATGAGGACGGAGCACGCATGGGAATGCCCCTAGTGCTCTGATGTCAATTCTTGACTCAACTCTAAATCGCGGTGGAAGAATTTTAGAGCATTAATGGACTATCAGTGTAACTAATTATTATTTTTCAAAATCAAGCCAGTCTCAAAGTGATGTAACAAAAAAAATACTAAGCCACACACTGTAGCAGGGGGATGTAATCCAAGAGTGAAATACTGTTTTTGTTGTGTTACCTTTGAATAATCCAGTTTCAATGAAATTAAGTGTGCTTTTGTTGACAATATAAAGTTACAATCGAAAGAATACATTTGTACATAGTATGTGTTTGATATCGGTGTAATGCTGACCCCATTACCCACCTAGTGCCGATTGGTCTGTACAAATATGGGTGCTCTTTCCATGTGCCCGATGCGTTGATACACCTCACAGTGTCTACTCCAGTAGCATTGTCAAAAATTATGCTTAAAAAGTGCCGGTACTGGGTACCGGTGCGTACCATAGGAAAAAAAAGAACTTTGGTACTATATACTGCTCATTATTACCCCCCCCCCCACACACCCACACACACACTTATATACACACATGGGAGCGGTGGAAAGTGGTGACACTGACACACATGGGAGCGATGGAAAGTGGTGACATTGAGACACATGGGAGCGGTGGAAAGTGGTGACATTGAGACACATGGGAGCGGTGGAAAGTGGTGACATTGAGACACATGGGAGAGGTGGAAAGTGGTGACATTGAGACACACACACACATGGGAGCGGTGGAAAGTGGTGACATTGAGACACATGGGAGCGGTGGAAAGTGGTGACATTGAGACACACACACACATGGGAGCGGTGGAAAGTGGTGACATTGAGACACACATGGGAGCGGTGGAAAGCGGTGACATTGAGACACACACACACACACATGGGAGCGGTGAAAAGTGGTGACATTGAGACACACATGGGAGCGGTGGAAAGTGGTGACATTGAGACACACATGGGAGCGGTGGAAAGTGGTGACATTGAGACACACATGGGAGCGGTGGAAAGTGGTGACATTGAGACACATGGGAGCGGTGGAAAGTGGTGACATTGAGACACACACACACACACATGGGAGCGGTGGAAAGTGGTGACATTGAGACACACATGGGAGCGGTGGAAAGTGGTGACATTGAGACACACATGGAAGCGGTGGAAAGTGGTGACATTGAGACACACACACACATGGGAGCGGTAGAAAGTGGTGACATTGAGACACACACACACATGGGAGCGGTGGAAAGTGGTGACATTGAGACACACATGGGAGCGGTGGAAAGTGGTGACATTGAGACTCACACACACATGGGAGTGGTGGAAAGTGGTGACATTGAGACACACACACACATGGGAGCGGTAGAAAGTGGTGACATTGAGACACACACACACACACATGGGAGCGGTGGAAAGTGGTGACATTGAGACACACACACATGGGAGCGGTGGAAAGTGGTGACATTGAGACACACACTCACATGGGAGCGGTGGAAAGTGGTGACAATGAGACACACACACACACATGGGAGCGGTGGAAAGTGGTGACATTGAGACACACACACACATGGGAGCTGTGAAAAGTGGTGACATTGAGACACACACACACACACATGGGAGCGATGGAAAGTGGTGACACTGAGACACATACCGCACAGCGAATTATTGTCAGTACATTTATATTAATGGCTTCCACGTCGACCTAGCCTTAACTTAAAAGAGAAACAGGTCGTAATGGGAAGAAAAGACTGCCCCGGCTTGATGCTGACCTTATCACCCACCGAGGTCCTGCCCTATATGTCTGAAGGTGTGGATAAGGATTCTTTACTTTACTTTTACTTTAGGGTGCTGTATTTAGTGTGCTGTATTTAGGGTGCTGTATTTAGGGTGCTGTATTTAGGGTGCTGTATTTAGTGTGCTGTATTTAGTGTGCCGTATTTAGTGTGCCGTATTTAGGGTGCTGTATTCAGTGTGCTGTATTTAGTGTGCTGTATTTAGGGTGCTGTATTTAGGGTGCTGTATTTAGTGTGCTGTATTTAGGGTGCTGTATTTAGGGTGCTGTATTTAGGGTGCTGTATTTAGGGTGCTGTATTTAGGGTGCTGTATTTAGGGTGCTGTATTTAGGGTGCTGTATTCAGGGTGCTGTATTTAGTGTGCTGTAATTAGTGTGCTGTATTTAGTGTGCTGTATTTAGTGTGCTGTATTTAGGGTGCTGTATTTAGTGTGCTGTATTTAGTGTGCTGTATTTAGTGTGCTGTATTCAGTGTGCTGTATTTAGTGTGCTGTATTCAGGGTGTTGTATTTAGTGTGCTGTATTTAGTGTGCTATATTCAGTGTGCTGTATTTAGTGTGCTGTATTTAGGGTGCTGTATTTAGTGTGCTGTATTTAGTGTGCTGTATTTAGTGTGCTGTATTTAGTGTGCTGTATTCAGTGTGCTGTATTCGGTGTGCTGTATTTAGTGTGCTGTATTTAGTGTGCTGTATTTAGGGTGGCATGTATCGAATCTAGACATTCTGTCCCATTCACGGAATCAGATGCAGTATAATTTAAATAAACTTAATGCGAGATTACAACAGCTTGGTCTGAAAATCTACAAAGGAAAGACAAAGATAATGAGAATAAATCAGGCAAATAGTAATGTGGTTTCTCTTGATGGCACCCCACTCCAAGACGTGGAGTCGTACTCCTATTTAGGCAGTAATGTAGATAAAGATGGAGGAACTGACAGAGATATTAAAATAAGAATACAAAAGGCAAGAGGGGTTTTCATAGCACTAGGGAATTTGTGAAGGTCAAAAGATACAAAACTAAAAATTTGTAATTCTAATGTCAAATCAGTACTATTGTATGGGGTGGAAATATGGAGAACAACCAAGGCAATTACTAATAAATTACAGACATTCATTATATGGTGCCTGCGCAGAATAGAGGGAATTAAAGGGTTTGATTGAATAACTAATGTAGAACTTTGGGAGAGAACTAAACAGGCTTCAGTGGACCAAGAGGTGAGGGAAAAACGCTGGCGTTGGTTAGGACACGCACTGAGAAAACAGGAGAACAGCATAACTAGAATGTCTTTGCATTGGAACCCACAGGAGCATATAAATAAAGAAAGGCCAAAAAAAAAAAAAAAAAAAAAAAAAAAAAAAAAAAAAAAACAACAACAACACACACGGAGAAGAGAGCTGGAGAATGAAGTTAGAAAGATGGGGGGGGGGGGGGGGGACATTGAGAGAGCTCCATGCAATGGCGAAGGATAGAACGACTTGGCGAGAGTTGGTTGAGGGCCTATGCTGCATTGGGGGATGGAAAGGCAGAAGAAGAAGAAGAAGAAGAAGAAGAAGAAGAAGAAGAAGAAGAAGAAGAAGAAGAAGATATACCTTCCTCGACACCCTATAGCGGCACAGGAGAGAGTGCAGAAGATAGGTAGGCATGTTGTACCCCACCAGGACATCACACAAGCGATTAACACCCGGTGACACAAAGTGCCACAATGCGGATGAGGATCACCCGTGGAGAAGTCCAGAAACCCTTTTTAGCCGCTAGGCCATATTTAAGGCCTGGTTATATTTAGGGCCAGGTTGGGGCTTCAAAATAACTAACAATTGCATCCTACAATGGGATGACGATAAGCGTTGAGCAAGTACAGAAGAGGGAGAGGAGGACGATTTTTGTAATAGCTACAACTGTCGGCATGGAAACGACACCAGCTGTTCAGACAATAATAACTCCGCACTATATGAATTGTCACAATATTGTCTTTTTAAATATTAAATTAAGCCGTTCTAATTTTCTCAGACAATAGCAGACAAACACACACAAAACAAAATAGTTGAACGTATTTGTATAAAAATAGTTACGTAAAATATTTTGACTTTATTTTGCTCACGTGATAGTTGTAAAATGGCGGCCGATAGGAACATGGCGGATTTCTAGCAGACGTTTGACTGAACACAACTGAAAGTTTCCGCCCAGACCGTCACAAGTTTACCTGCTAACCATGACAGATAAAGAATATGCGCCATTGACAGCTGCTTGTGTTCGAGCATTGGTGGATAAACTGTACGAGAAGAGGAAAAGTGCTGCCTTAGAAATAGAAAGGTGGGAATTTATTGGTAACATCTTTCTTTCTTATGAGTGCATCTCTAGCTAGCAGACTAGCAGTGTTGACAGTGTTGTACTGTTGTAAAGTTCTAGTTTCTGTTGTATACAGAGTAGAGTAGACATTATATTGATATTCCGTGTGGTACGATATAGCATAATTTCTTTTTGCTTTTTCATCTGCCCTTTGACTCCCAGTGGAGATAAAGGTTTACTTAACAAACTCACCCCTCATTATTTTCACTTTGCTCTGCAACTAGTTGTTTCATACAGGGATGAGGTGTATACATTCAGCGTCACCTTTTTTTAGCTTACCTAGCATTCCACATATGCATTAGTATTCATATATCATATAGGATACAGTGCTGCTATTCTTTGCATCTATGTCCTGGTGAGAAGGCTCTTTTAATATTTATTATTTAGTAGTTTCTTTGGCTATCCTTTGAATAACGGTCCCAAATTATGGAGGCCGAAAATATACCCTAACAGGGCCTCAGTCACATGTAAATTGCGGACTTCAGGTGACTATGCCGCCACCACCGAGTGTATCTTGGCCTCGATAATTTGGGACCGTTATTCTGAGAATAGCCGTTTCTTTTGCTGATTTAAGAATCAACATGAGAGCACATGGGAGAATACCCACACTTTGTCTTCCGCAGCAGTGTAGATACTAACTTTTACTGATTTGCCTCTCATGCCTCCCTACTTGTCGACTCCACTCCCAATTCCATGTTTACACTTCTTGCACATCTTATTTAATCTACTCTCATGATTTCTATCAGAATTCGTTCATAAATGTTCTTTGGAATGTCTTCTTTGTCCAGTATGAATGTTTGTTCCTTCAGCTATCCCCTTTATAACTGGAATAAAAAAGTCCACACTTTCATGCCCTCTGACTTCTACAGTTCCTGGACAATAATCTATGTAAGTCCCTGTAAGTTGATGTGCTGTTGCTTCTTATACACTCATACTACATTTAGCCATTTCGGACCTTCAGCTTTCCAACTGAGAAATTGGCACCATAATTCATTTGGTAGCTATGTTTCCTTTCTGATCGATCAGTCATCTTTGCAGTATTTTAAACCTGAACTAGACTGACTGGACAAGCCACTCATCCGTGCAGACATGAATTCCATTTCGTCTGATCGACAGCATCTGATGACCCAGCGACATGCACATTATAGGACCATGATGATGATGAGTTTTTCCACTTGTATATAGGTGGATTATTAACCCTTTTACCCCGGGAAGCCGCATACCTGGCACTTCCGTTAGGTTTCAGTTCCCCAAGAGTGCTGCTTAAACAGCATGTCTACGGTGACATGTTTATGAGACACCTAGTTAATGCCATTAGTTATCTTTGCACCTTCACAAGCCTTTAGCAGATCAGGAAGTAGTACTGGTTATGGTTGTCTAACAACATGAAGCATCTGTTGTACTGGGTTTTTTTCTTCCTCAGGATTGTCAAAGAATTGTCAGCAAATAACCAGGTTGACCAGATTAAGAAATTATTGAGGGTTTTGGAAGAATTTGCATCATCTCAGAATCCCAACACAAGAAAAGGAGGACTTATTGGCTTGGCTGCAGTTGCTATTGGACTCGGAAAGGTAATCCACTAGTGTTATTCTTTATGCAAAAGGAAGACATTATGTTATCACAGTCAGTGTCACACCTCTGATGCAGCAGCTACTCCAAGGCCCACACAGGAAAAATAAATTTACCACCATTACAAGCAGAACTCCAGCTGTGCTTGTACGCGTTTTTCAGCAGCGGAAGACACACAATGAAATGTCTTTTTCTATTTATAGAAACTTGTGGGACATCCAGAAGTCACCTTGGTATAGTGGCTAGGTGCTCCCTTGCGGATCAGAAGGTCGTGTGTTTGGGTCCTGATGGAGTCAGACTTAAAAAAAAAAAAGACCTTGGCTCCCAGGTCGACCCAGCCTTGAGTGTTTGCCAGGAGCGGTCCTGAGAACTAAAGGCGGCCTGCATGATGCTGACCACATCACCCACCATTGTCTTAGTTTCTGTTTGGAACCATGGGATGTTGATGCACAATTTTGGCTTCATAGTTCTAAATACCAAGGTTTGAAGTCAGCTTCAGACAGTTTGGCAGCAGACCTCGTTGCAGTGTCAGTCTTGTGAGTGTCAGTCAGAAAGTGATGGTGAACTTTTCAGACAATAGCAAACTTTTCAGAAAACATGGCAAACTATTCAGAAGTAGTTGTAAATACTAAGGCTTGAAGTCAGCTTCAGACAGTTTGGCAGCAGACCTCGTTGCAGGGTCAGTCTTGTGAGTGTCAGTCAGAAAGTGATGGTGAACTTTTCAGACAATAGCAAACTTTTCAGAAAACATGGCAAACTATTCAGAAGCAGTGGTAACCAACTGAATATAATTTTGTATAGAAGACTTCACAACAGCCACTTAACAATGGGGGGTGGTTTGCAATGTCCTGAAAAGGATGTTCAGGTAGGTGTTATTGTTTAATTTTTTTTCTTCTCTCTCCTATGTAAAAATAAACATTATTGTTTTATTGTCTTTAATCTTTTACTCTGGAATAAAGGAGTTTCTTATGGTTTTGTTTTGTCCTTCAGCTTCTACCCTGGGCTGTAGAGATAGGTACCTTACACTCACATTTTGTTCTCAAAGTCCATGCTGTGTGGCATTGGTAGTCATGTGTATCCACAGCCTTCTGTCTCATATACTTGCAGTCACTTCTGACACAGAGGATCTTCATTGCCATGATGTCAAACTGCCCAGCATCTGTTCTCTTGGTCTCTTTCTGTCTATTCACCCCTCCAAATGAATTATTGTCAAATGCACTCCATTTCTCCTTTTCATGTCATGACCAAAGAATATGATTGTTTACATTGAGACTGGAGACACAGCATTTTGGGCAAATTTAAACTCTCCTTGAATCCTGGGGGGAAGAGGGGTGGGGGGGGGGGGGGGGGGTGATCTCGAGACATGTCGTCCGCCCTAGTGATGGAGGTTCCAGGTTCAAGTCCTGGTGTAGGCTAGGATTTTTTCACGTGGACTTCTAGTAATTTTCCTCTTGTCTCTGTGTAGTAAGATCGGACGCCTGTGTGTATTGTTGCGCACGTAAAAAATCCCTAGGCAGATTTAAGTCAGAAAGAGTAGCCTAACAGCGCTGCCCAGGCCAAGTTTTGAGTTGAAAATTATTTCAGGATCCTTGTTGGTACTACAGAGTTCACGCTGAGATTCTTCAGACTTAGACTTGAGTTAGAAGTAGAACAGAGCACTTATGGGTTACTATCCTTGTGCCATAATGTTGATCCGTTGTATAAACCAATCACTTTGAATCCACATAGAATGCAGATTTTTTTTCTCCTCCAAAAGTGACCTTGGCTGCCATGTCAACTCAGCCTTAAATGGGTACGAGGTAATGCCATTGGAAGGAAAAGTGACCGGCATGAAGTTGACCAAATCACCCCCCCCCCCCCCCACTGAGTGCTGACTGGTCTAAACAAATATAAGTGTAACACCATATGCCTGATATTGCTGAAGGTATGAAAGTGTCTTCTTTACTTCTCTTACTTTCTTCCTACACAATCCATCAAGTCATAGTTCTTTAGTGTTGTGCTATGTTAGAAGAATGAGTGGGATTAAAGAAGGAGGGATAAGAGCTGCATGAAGAAGTAGAACTGACACTCGCCGTCCTCAACATGCAGTTGTAGTTGACAGACAGCAGGTGTGTTGATGTGCACATTTCTTCTTCCAGGAATCATGCAGCTACATCAACAATCTGGTACGGCCTGTAGTCATGTGTTTCCATGATGGGGACAGCCGGGTGCAGTATTACGCCTGTGAGGCCCTCTACAACATCGTCAAGGTGGCCAGGGGGGCTGTGCTGCCGCACTTCAATGAGATCTTTGATGGCCTCAGCAAGGTATTTATAGTTGATGTAGCCAGTGGGATTTCTCTGGCTTGTCTATTCCTCTCTACCTTCACTAGCTTGTCTGTTACTGTCTACCTTCTTGTCTGTCTCTGTCTGTGGCTTGTCTGTCCTAGTTTGCCTCTCTGTGGGTTATCTATCCCTCTTTACCGGTCTTTGTCTTGTCTGTTCCTGTCTGCCTGTCTGTGGCTTGTTTATTCCTATCTGCCTGTCTGTGGCTTGTTTTATTCCTATCTGCCTGTCTGTGGCTTGTTTATTCCTATCTGCCTGTCTGTGGCTTGTTTATTCCTATCTGCCTGTCTGTGGCTTGTCTATCTCAGTCTGCCTGTCTCTAGCTTGTTTATTCCTGTCTGCTTTCTCTAGCTTGTCTATCCCTGTCTGTGGTTTCTCTATCCTAGTCTGCCTCTCTGTGGGTTATCTGTCCCTCTCTATCTGTCTCTGGCTTGTCTATCCCCGTCTGTCTGTCTGTGGCTTGTCTATCTCAGTCTGTCTGTCTCTAGCTTGTCTATTCCTGTCTAGGTGTTGATCACTTCGCATACAACGAGCTGATTGGTCTATAAAATATAAGTCAAGCACTATATGTCAATTACAGTACGCCCGAATATAGGCCTGAACAAGACATACCTGTTTGAAACAGAAAACATGGTTGATGATGTGTGCATTTCTCTACATTTGCTTTAGATCAGTGGTCAGTGGGCCTAGGGTGCATGCCTAGGTTGAGTATCGACCAAATGCCAATTTTTAAGTGCATTTGTACTTGAAATGAGCAAAATTTGCAGCGTTGCCAGCTCAATGTGGAGAGTGATTTCTGTTGTGCCTTGCCCAATATCAGACCAAAAATAGCTGCATCATCAAGACAAAACTGTTTCAACCATCTGATTGATTTTTGGATACTAAATTACTAGTTGTTGGTTATTGCTTCTTTTTGTTATTTGATACTTTGATTTATGTGGGTGTTTTCCATCCAAGTTTTTGTTAACAGTACTAGGGATTTTTCTTGTTGTTCACCTCTTTTTAATCACATTTTGTTTTGTGGAAAAGGTGGGGTGGGGGTGGGAGGTCCCTTGCTGTAAATATTTGCAAGAGTTTAGATGTTAAAGTATGTTGAAATGTGGACTCTTTCAGTTGGCAGCACACCCAGACCAGAATGTGAAGAATGGGGCCGAGTTGCTAGACAGGCTGATCAAGGTTAGTGTCTAGAGTTGTGGTTGTGTGTGTGTGTGTGTGTGTGTCTGTATGTATGAGGGACATAGTGTGAGAGAGAGAGAGAGAGAGAGAGAGAGAGAGAGAGAGCTTGTTATTTGTTACCTATATAGACATTCTACACATCAGTCTGACCCAATCATGATTTGTCCTTTGATGCAACATCCCTCTCAATGTCTCCATATTCACTGTATCTGATAGGAGTTGATTAACGCATCTTGTTTCTCTGACCTGCAACTTGTTTTATGCATGTCTTCGTTTAATACCCATTTCCGACAGGGGGGTGGGGGGGGGGGAGAGGGGCACTGTCTCTGAATCATTTGTCTGAACATGTTTGGAACGCAGCACATTCAGTATGTCTGCCCCATCCAGACTTCTTCCTCCATTAACTACTGCAGAGGGTCACACTGGATCACTCCTGTACGACTTGCAATGATAAGGGCTGGCGTTGTCTTGATACCATCATGCCATGCGAGCAACACGCTGATTACCAGCCAGCTTGTGAGTTCTTGTGAATGATGATGTTGAAAATAATGCGGAGTAATAATGGTGGTGATGATTAATAATGGTAATTGTAGTGGTGATAATGATGATTAAGATAGTGCTACAAGTAGTGAATTTGATGACCGTGCAGATACTCAAATGATAGAAGGGGGAAAAACCTTGCCACACACTTGTGTTTATATTCTGTGTAGGATAATCTGGTGTGCAGGGCTATGAGCAGACTGATAGATTGGCTGCTGCCAGCCCTCTGTGTGGTAAGCTACTTTATGATTAAGTGGACATGGTGAATGCGCTGGGGGATCAAGTAGGCGGTGCAACGGAACAGAGTATCCATATCTTGAGAGACTGATTCTGCAGGGAGTAGACAGAGTGTCCTGGATGGTTTTCAGAACAGATTGGTTGCTGCCAGCCCTCTGTGTGGTAAGCTACTTTATGATTAAGTGGACATGGTGAATGCGCTGGGGGATCAAGTAGGCGGTGCAACGGAACAGAGTATCCATATCTTGAGAGACTGATTCTGCAGGGAGTAGGCAGAGTGTCCTGGATGGTTTTCAGAACAGTCAGACTTTTCATCGGGTTGCAACTTTCACCATCAGTATTAGAACTTTGCTGGCTGCTGATAGAGGGAAGAGAGCACATGTGGGAATACATTGAGTGTAGTAAAGAAGGTTCATTGCATGCCCATGTGTTTCAGGACATTGTGACTGAGAGTTCATCCTTCGATCTAGTGGCTTTCATCCCTCTACTCAGGGAACGCATCTATACGAGAAACCCTTTTGCCCGGCAGTTTGTCGTGTCCTGGGTAAGTGGGTGTTTGTGTGACCGATACGTTTGTGTGAAAGACAGATTTTTGTGATAAATTTGTTTTTATTGTAAATGTTTATTTATGATAGAAAAGAAAAGAAAAATCTTCCACAATCATAGTATGGGATTGCAGAACCATAGTCTGTTTCTTCTAAGACGCTTAGATTCTCATCCTTTCTGCAGTAATTCCTTCCTTCATTCTCATTCATTTCCTGATTTGGCCCAGCCACATAACATGGTGCATGGCATTTTGTTCCGAGGGAGCCCGCCTCAATGCCTGTATCATTCATGCACCGTTTTCGCACATCTTTATTTCGTAGTATAGGTTGGGCTCGACATTTTCTACCCGTCCATAGAGGACGTCTTTAGGGACTTTTTCATCCTCCATTCTCCGCGTGTGACCCAGCCACCTGAGCTTTCTTAGACTGAGGAGTGAGAAGACTGTTATAATACCTGCTCTTTCCAATACTTCAGTGTTTGCGATCTTGTTCTGCCACTTAATGCCAGATATTCTTCTTAGGCATCGCATGTGAAAGCTATTTAGCCGTCTCTCCCGGTGCGAATAAGTTGACCAAGTTTCACTGCCATAAAGCAGAGTGCTGAGAAGACAAGCCTTATAGACAAGTTTGGTACAAACCATGTTTCCAGGCCCAGGCTCCGCCCGTCTACATACTTATGAATGACAGAGTCCGTCCAGGACACTATGATTGGATGTTCAGTCTCTCTTAACCTTTGAGAAGCGCATTGGGTAAGTGGCAGGGGTTTTAGCTCGGTGGAGGCTTCTACAATGGCGCATGCTCTAAATTAGAGCATATGAGCGCCTTTAACGACTGCATAACATCTACAACTGGCCCTAACCCAAACCCCGCTTCCCGACACAGTAAACCTAGGTCTGACAAGACAGTGCATTCTACCTGCCGGGGTTTCAGACTTCTTAACATTGTGCTGTTTTCTGCACAAGGCTCTGTCACTGCAGACACACAACACTACCCTCTGCAATAAACTCATTTCCTACTGAAAATTTTAGTCTGCACTCATATACACGAACAACCACTAGTACTGCTTACGAGCGAGTACGCAATGTTGGCGGCCGCTGCTCCCAGAATAAGAATGAACACATATCCCAGAATGCTATGTCAGTTTCAAAGTACAGCTGCACACCCTTTTAACTTTGACATAAATTGGCTGGGCCGACCAAGTATGAATGAAAAGTTGCGTAGTGTGTAAATGGGCGGAGCTGACCCTGGTGGGCTCAGAAATGTGAGATGTTCCACAAGTTTTTGTTTTAATCATGAGCTTTCTGTTCTCCCAAACTCTTTTTGTTAATCTGCTCATTGTTATTACTGCCTTACCTATCCTAATGTTGATTAACATTGTTCTTAACGAGGGCGGGTCTTGCTAGTCACACTAGCCATCGCCATGGGCTGTGAGTCCCATGTCTCCTCATAGTGCAGTATATCACTATCATCTGGAAAGACGGAAAGGTGCCAGTCAGTTTTTATCAAAAATGAGTTTTTGTGGTAGATGTAGATGTGTTTTGGGGGAATATGGGTTTTTATAGTAGATGGGATTTTGTGATTGATAGATAGGTTTTTGTGGTAGATGTTTTTTTGGGTTGCAAATGAGTTTTTGTTGTGGGGGGGGGGGGGGGGGGGGGGGGGGGGGGGGGGGGGGGGTGATAAATGCATTTTCCTGGTGTATGGTTGTGTGTGTGTGAATGTTGGTTTTTGTAGCATGTGGTTATTAATGATAGATGGGTTATGTGATAGGTGGGTTTTGGGGAAAAATGAGTTTTTGTGGTAGACTGGTTATTGTGGCACCTCAGTTTTTGGGGATTTTGTGATAGATGAGTTTTTGTGATAAATAGGTGTTTGTTACTTGTAGGTTTTTGTGATAGGTTTTTTGGCATGTTTTGTGGCTGAGTGGATTTTTTATTCTGGTGAGCTTGTCAGTTTTAAGTGGAGAATTTTTTAATTATTTCTAGTTTTCTGTGGAGCAGAGGTAAAAATAACATACATAAGTCTTACCTATTTACTTAGTCGCTCCTCTTCTACCTTGGGGTGTAGAAGTTTGCCAGAGATCGCCAGACGTCTCTATCAGCAATATTTTCCTGGCTTTGTTTCATTTCAGTCCTCTGTCATTTAGGGACTGTCAGATGTTGTCTTCCCAGCGCACCCTGGGTCGTCTTGGAGGTCTGGTTCCCTGGTTCTTAGCTTCCCATGCCTGCCATGGTGGCCGATTTTTTCCCATTCTGCATACATGTCCAAACCATTGTAACTGTGACTGATTCACTTGGGTTTGTAAGGACTGGGTATCAAGATCTTGATGTATGTTCTGACTGCGGACGTTGTCCCTTCTTGTCACTTGGACCACCTTTTTCATATATCTCATTTCTGAGGCCTGAAGTGAGGCCTGCTTCTGTGAGCTGTTGTCATTGCCTATGACTCACACCCATAGGTCAGGACTGGTACATAGGTAGAGCGGTAAACAGCGCTTTTCATCCTCTTGCCAATTTATCTTTTGCTAAGAAACCCTCGGTTTATGTTCTGGAAGAGTCTCCCAGCAGCTGCTTTTCATGTAGCCTACTCAGTCTTAATGCCTCCATTTCAGTCTATTACAACTCCAAGGTATTTGAACTGGTTCACCTGCTCTAATGCATACTGTCCCATCATGATCGGGTGTTTACATACATAAGCCATTAATTAAATTTTTTTTCTGAATTGTCCTACTTCTTGTATATCTGTGTTTTTCTGTTAATCTACTTGAATTTCTGTGTGTTTGTGTCGGTCTAGCTGAATGTGTGTTTTTATCTGCCTGTATATCTGTGTGTTTCCATGTGTTTAAATTTCCATGTCTCCAATACATCTCTTATACATACATCTGCACATCTCCCATGCATCTCCAACTCTCCGACACATCTTCATCTCTCCCACATATCACCTTGTCTCCCATACATCTTCACATCTCCATCTCTCACACACATCTCCATCTCTCCCACACATTTTCATCTCTCCCACACATCACCTTGTCTCCCATACATCTATATTGAAACAGCAGCTGTGACTTTCAGATTGAAGTGCTCGATGCAGTTCCAGAAATCAACATGTTGGTTCTTCTACCAGAAATCCTCGACGGACTTTTTCAGATCCTTGGAGACAACAGTCATGAGATTAAAAAAATGTACGTGGAAAAATCCTGAGATCATTTTGTTTTAGTCTGTAAACAGTTGTTATTGTCAACTTGCAGTTGATAGATTCATATTGGTGTGTATTTATTCTGACATAAAGCTGCCATTGTCAAGGCAATTCTTGTTGTAATTTACACCATAAAGACATCTTCCCTCAGATGTTATGTCTGTTTCAAGACACCCATTTATGTGGATGTTACATTGAACTATATTCTAGCTTTCTATAAGCTTATTATTATTTCATTATTTTTTTATGTGATGGTCCGTTATTGTCACAATATTTTGACATGGAAAACAAAAGTAGATGTATTGAATTTCGGTGAGGGGGAATCGTATAATGAGACAGATTCTATTATAACCAAGACAAAACTCCTATCCATGAAGCAGAGTGCATCACCCAAACAAGCGGCATTCATCCATGATCCTACACATTTATAATGCTGCTTGGTTAGCACACAACAGAGAGCCTACCATTTTGTTCAGCAAGTGAGAGTTGCATGGTTTCAAATGCAGCATTGAACAAAAAGTGAACATTAAATTATGTTTTCAGTTGAGAAAAGTGCTACTGAGACAGTTGAATTGATAAGCCAAGTTTCTGGGATTGTATGGACCGTGTATCTTCTACAGAACTTGTAATGTGAATTAAAAGATAAAATTGCACATGTGTCTGCATGAGAGCTGTGCCACTGGAACGTTTATAAGTTTTTCCTCAAATATCTTTTGATAGAGACTGAACTCTTAGGTCGTGTTCTTAATGTGATCTTGCCAGTTTTTAGTGTGGACAACCTTCATCATAAGGATTGTCATAGCTCTCTTGCAATCTCACAGTGCGCAGAGTTTGGGCATTCAACAGGATTGACCACAAGCTGAGACCATGGGTGATCTTATCTTCACTTCATTTGCCTGACATTGTGTCTGCACAGGCTGCCCTGCAGGGAGTAAAATAGGGCTTGTTGAGAGTAACCATATTCCTACATCAGTCCCACTGTCTCCTATAAAGTAAAGGACCCTTTCACACACCCATGGGAATATTGGGTATTGTGATGACCCTGCTTTGCATGGTCTCCACGAGTACATTGTGGCAAGCAGGAAGTCCGTACTACAAGTGGCGGCACGAGATACTTGTGGCCGGTGGAGTAAGCGAGGGGAAGCCCGAGCTAGCCTCGTGGTTAGTTGATCAACAGAAGTCAGAGAAGACGGTTGTAGTAATTGAAGATGTAGTTTTTATGTCGCGAGAATGGTTAATGTTAGAATATGTCGCGAGTGATAAAGTGTGAATAATGTTTGAACATGTGAAATAAATGGACCAGAATAAACTGACAGAATGTACAAAGAAGCTGAGCGGCGTTCGTGTTGTCAACCCTAGACGATGAAGCCGGTGCAAACCAAGGTTCATTCCAAGTCAAACCAAGGTACATTTCAGGTATACAGGGCCAGACCTGTATAAATAGACTAGTCAGCACTCGGTCAGGGATGTGGTCAGCATGACACTGACCACCTTCAATTCCCAAGACTGTACCTGGAACCCACTTTTGGCTGGGTCGACTTGAGGGCCATGGTCATTTCAACAAAACATATCTGGCTGTCGATGCTGATTTGAATCCACAACCTTCAGATCCAAGGGAAGTGTGTTTACTAGAGAGATGGCTATAAGCAGAAAGCAAAAATAATTTAAAAAAAAACAACAACAACTGAAGCGTAGTATACATCATCATCATCATTCTTTTGCCCCAGTGTATGTCACATTGGGCTCACAGTTTGTTTTAATATGTACTTCGTCATCTAAATACAGGTGTCAGGGAGTGTTGTCTGAGTTTCTAGAGGGAATCCGCCGCTCTAAAAATGGCATCAACTTCACAGGGATGGCCAATATTTTGATCATCCACAGTCAGAATGCAGGTAAGTGATGAGTCACTGGTTAAGACAGTGTTGTGTCCCTCTCACGTTACAGGTACGTGACCAGTCACTGGTTAGGACACTGTTGTGTCCCTCTCAAGTTACAGGTACGTGACCAGTCACTGGTTAGGACATTGTTGTGTCCCTCTCAAGTTACAGGTACGTGACCAGTCACTGGTAAGGACAGTGTTGTGTCCCTCTCACGTTACAGGTAGTCGTTTTTAGGGCAGATGATGCTGGTGGAGGAGTACCATGTGTTATCCTGTGCTAGTTTTTCACAATATTCTGCAATGTTTTTACACCATCTGGCCAAAAAAATTGAAATTTTTTAAACAGACAACCGATGGTTAAAACAAATGTAGATATGAATAAAAATATTTTTCTGACATTTGCCGTTGTTGAGGTGCTATGTGTTACTCAGGCTAGGTGTTCACATATTTTACACAAGTCGTCATCAGCGCTTTTGTTCCTGGGGAAAATATGGAGACATTTTGTCAGACGGCTTCTTCTTCTTTTTTGAGTTCACCAGCTGTAAACTCTGGTGGAAAGTTCTGGTTGTTCGTCCACTTCTGGACTGCAGTCCCATTCCAGAACCTGAGTGTTGTGTGTGCATTTGTTTGACATATCTGACAAATTTGTGTGCAGACTGTTGGTTCCTTGCCTCTCAGGCAGATGCACTCCAGCTTCGAAGGAAGCTCCCAATTAGTAGATTCTTACCACATGCTTTTGGATAGGCAGTGGGTCTATTCTTGTTTTCCCTATAACAGGGCCCCGGAACCCACACAGGGGTGTCAGATGGTTAAAAAGTTTTAAAAAAAAAAATCTTTTTTGACATCTCTCAAAAATAAAGAAAAAATTTTATGTTAACAAAATATTAATGACTGTAATATACTGGCTGAGGCACGTATTCATTAGGTGACAGACCTGTTGAATGGCATCGTCGGCACAACCCATCGATAATTTGCCCCTTTGACCTTGTCGCCAGAGATGCTACAAAACTGACAGTTCTGTTTGGGTCCACTTCCTTTACTCACATAGCGGTTCACGAGAAGTATACATAATAGCAGTGGTATCATATGGGTCCGCACAACATATAGGGGGAACCAGAATTTATTATATGTATGTATGTATATATGTCTGACTGACTGTCTGTCTATTCATGCGTGTGTGTGTATGTACATCACACACATACACACTAAAAATAGCATTGGAGGGTGTTCCTTGTGAACTTGTGGCTTTTATCATATACATTTTATGATGTCACATTTGCCATTACCAGAGTGTCACCTGACAACTGGGTTAGTAGGTCAAGTCGGAGCAACCATATTACTTTTGTGTAATCATCATCAAGAGGACAGTTAGGTCATTCTCCGCTGTATTAATGTTTACTGATAACGGCTTTTATTCTGTATGGAAGTTAGTATTGTTAACTAGTGCAAGATTGTTAAGCCCTGTGAAAATTGGTGGTCTTTTAAAGGAATTTTTTTCTCTGGAATTTTAGAAATGCGGGTCACTAGATTGTGTTTTTTTTCGTGGTCTTGGAGGGGGTGGGGGATTAAATCTTTTGTTTCTAAGTGAGGGCAACTTATTCTGCATTGCTATGACTATGATGAGTTAATGACAACTACAGACTGAACACATCTCCACAGATGATCTGATCCAGTACACTGCCATTACCTGGTTGAGAGAGTTCATAGCACTGGCTGGACGAGCCATGTTGCATCACATGGCAGGCATCCTCAACGCTGTCCTGCCCTGCCTCTCTTACACCGATGAAAGTCGCAAAAAGTAAGTGGGCAGTTTCTCATGTGAATGCTCTCCTGCCCTGCCTCTCTTACACCGATGAAAGTCACAGAAATTAAGGGGACAGTTTCTCATGTGAATACTCTCCTGCCCTGCCTCTCTTACACCGATGAAAGTCACAGAAATTAAGGGGACAGTTTCTCACGTGAATACTCTCCTGCCCTGCCTCTCTTACACCGATGAAAGTCGCAAAAAGTAAGTGGACAGTTTCTCATGTGAATACTCTCCTGCCCTGCCTCTCTTACACCGATGAAAGTCGCAAAACGTAAGTGGACAGTTTCTCATGTGAATACTCTCCTGCCCTGCCTCTCTTACACCGATGAAAGTCGCAAAAAGTAAGTGGACAGTTTCTCATGTGAATACTCTCCTGCCCTGCCTCTCTTACACCGATGAAAGTCACAGAAATTAAGGGGACAGTTTCTCATGTGAATACTCTCCTGCCCTGCCTCTCTTACACCGATGAAAGTCGCAAAAAGTAAGTTTACAGTTTCTCATGTGAATACTCTCCTGCCCTGCCTCTCTTACACCGATGAAAGTCGCAAAAAGTAAGTGGACAGTTTCTCATGTGAATACTCTCCTGCCCTGCCCCTCTTACACCGATGAAAGTCGCAAAAAGTAAGTGGACAGTTTCTCATGTGAATACTCTCCTGCCCTGCCTCTCTTACACCGATGAAAGTCGCAAAAAGTAAGTGGACAGTTTCTCATGTGAATACTCTCCTGCCCTGCCTCTCTTACACCGATGAAAGTCGCAAAAAGTAAGTGGGCAGTTTCTCATGTGAATACTCTCCTGCCCTGCTTCTCTTACACCGATGAAAGTCACAGAAAGTAAGTGGGCAGTTTCTCATGTGAATACTCTCCTGCCCTGCTTCTCTTACACCGATGAAAGTCACAGAAATTAAGGGGACAGTTTCTCATGTGAATACTGTCTTTCCCTGCTTCTCTTACACCGATGAAAGTCACAAATTGAGTGGATAGTTTCTCAAGTGAATACTGTCTTTGCGTGCCTCTCTTCGTCATCATGTAGCAGAGCCTTTACAGAAGGTTGCTCTCATGACGGTCTGCCTGAGAGAAACTCGGTCTCTCGCCAGCTCTCCCGCCTCATGTATTATATTCAAGGAGTCACTTACGCCTCTTTTACACTGATGAAAGTCACAAAAAGTAAGTTTTCCTTTTCTCTCATAAGCTAAAAATGGGTAAGTTCAGTTTCTCTTTTCTCGTCTCAGTGCTGTCCTTCCATGTCTCTCATACACGGATGACAGCTTCTCATCTGAGTGATGTCCATCCCTGTCTCTCATAAACTGATGACAGCTTCTCATTTGAGTGCTGTCTTTTTATGTCTCTCATACAGGGATGACAGCTTCTCATTTGAGTGCTGTCCTTCCATGTCTCTCATACAGGGATGACAGCTTCTCATCTGAGTGATGTCCATCCCTGTCTCTCATAAACTGATGACAGCTTCTCATTTGAGTGCTGTCCTTCTCTGTCTCTCATAAACTGATGACAGCTTCTCGTTTGAGTGCTGTCCTTCTCTGTCTCTCATAAACTGATGACAGCTTCTCATTTGAGTGCTGTCCATCCCTGTCTCTCATACACTGATGAGGCTTCTCATCTGAATGCTGTCCAGCCCTGTCTCTCATAAACTGATGACAGCTTCTCATTTGAGTGCTGTCCTTCTCTGCCTCATACACTGATGACAGCTTCTCATCTGACTGCTGTCCATCCTTGTCTCTCATACACGGATGACAGCTTCTCATCTGACTGCTGTCCATCCCTGTCTCTCATACATGGATGACAGCTTCTCATCTGACTGCTGTCCATCCCTGTCTCTCTTACACTGATGAAAGCTTCTCATCTGTATGACGTCTGTCCTGTCTTTTTTATCTGTTGTACACTGTTAAATTTTGACAGAAACTTGACAGCCTTAATTAACTTATTTTCAATTTAGAAAATGTCACATTTTTGTTAGTTTTCCCTACAATGTACATCAGAATTTTAGCGGGAAAAAATAAATTAGTAAAAATCTGTCATTTACTGCCTGTATGTACCACTTTCAAGGGGCTGCGGGTGGGGTTGGGGGGTGTTTATGCAGGAGGATTTGTAGGTTAGAATGTATATTTTGACTCTTAAACTTTTCATCTGCTTACCAAGGATTCAAACCTTTCCTCTTCCCATGCCAGGTTGGCATTCTAACCTCTCATTCAGCCACCCCTGAAAAACAAAAATGAGAAAAATTGTAAAAATGTGGCATTTTATGTGTTAAATGTTATGGTAATCTTCGTCATTGTGATGACAATGTCACCACTGAATGAAGGAACTATGTTTATTTTTAGGGTGCGGGAGGCAGCCGAAAGTTTGAACCAAGCCTTGAGGAAGTTGGTGGAAGCACAAGATGACCAGCCCACGCCCACGGCAGAAAACATTACATTTTATTCCGAAGTGGCCAGCAACGAGAAACAGTCCTTAGATTCTCCCAACAGAGGAAGGTAACACGTGGGGGGGCTGTGTGTCTTTTTTTTTTAGGCTGTGGTTATTTCAGGCTGTGATTTTATCAGGCTGTGATTTAATCAGGTAATGATTTTATCAGGATGTAATTTTATCAGGTTAAGATTTCATCAGATTGATTTCATCAGATTTTGATTTTATCAGACAGTGATTTTATCCGGTTATGATTTTATCAGGTTGTGATTTCATCAGGTTATGATTTCATCAGGTTATGATTTTATCAGGATGTGATTTCATTAGGCTCTGATTTTATCAGGCTACGATTTCATCAGGTTATGATTTTATCAGGATGTGATTTCATTAGGCTCTGATTTTATCAGGCTACGATGTCATCAGGTTATGATTTTATCAGGTTGTGATTTTTATCAGGCTGTGATTTTGTTGTTGTTTCCATCGTGTTATCAAAAGTGTAATCTAACATGTTATCTCATTCTCCTATTCATCCAGTATTTCCCATCCCACTACCTTTTGTCCTCATAAGTGAGAGCTAACCAGTCCACATGTCTCCACAGTGCAATACAACTAGAAATCCTGTCTTTGATCAAAGTGCTGCAGCGGTTGCTGGGCCATGAAACCATACAGGCCAGGATAGCGGCACTCAAGTGGTTTAACCTACTCCTGGTGAAAACACCCAACAAGGTGAGCTTTTACATACCCTCTTGTTTCAGTTGATAATATCTGATATTATTGGCTAAGTTAGTAAGTTACTTAGACGAGATTCCACCGACACTTCAGACGAGTTGCCCCACAACTGCCTCGTTCCTGTACCAGTGGCAATCGCACAAAATGTCCTTCATTGCTCAGTTTAAAACTAGTCCAAAAATGTGTCAGCCAAGCAAAATTTTGAAGTTTGCACATGCAAAGTAATAATGTGTAAGGCAGCTGTCAGATGTACCAACGCTAATGGTCCCACACTAGAATTGCAGCTCACTGCTGGCGCAGACAGTCAACCAGGAAAGCTGACATTGCGTCTGCAAAAGTACATGCTTTTCTGAATCTAATCGGCAACCCTCCATTTTAGTGCAATCATCTTGTTCATCCACTTCTGAACTTTGGTCTTATTCCACAACTCGAGTTTTGTGAGCCCATCCATTTTACATATATGAATCATTAATATGCAGACTTGGATTCACAGCTCTGAGGCACTCACACAGATCATTATAATCTGAAGAGAATAGTGCAGTCAGTGCTGGATTTTGGCATAAGCTAAATAAGCTACAGCTCAATGCCTCACATTCTGCAGTGGCCTCAACTAATTCATATTTGTTTTTTTTCATAAATCAATTTTTCTTTTTAATATATTTAACTTGCTGTTTTCTTTAAACAAGCCATTTTAAAGGATAATATAGTGCACTTTAATGATTTTGCATCTCTGGTGGCTAGAGAACAAGATACATACACATGTCGTATTTGTAACAAACTCTGAAAGCATGCTGAGAAAGGTGAAGACAGGGATGCTTCAAGCAGAGTGGCAAGCTTCACTGGGAAGGTCACGGGTAGTGAGCATACTTTGGATCTTTTCTCCTGGCTATGCCGGCGTGGTGGGTAATGAACAGGCAGACAGATTGGCTGGAGCTTCACCACTGGGTGGTGAATCAGTAGAGAAACAAGATTATTATGGCCTGGAGAGAATGAGGCCCCTGGGTGTAACCAGAGGGTCTGGCCGGCTCACTACACTCAGAGAAAAGGCAAGATGAACATATAACCAGATTGTGACCGGTACCATCAGTATTGGAACTCTGCGCTGGCTCTGAAGATGAGGACGGAGCACACATGGGAATGCCCCGAGTTCTGTGATGTCTTGACTTAACTCAACTCAACTCATGATTTTGCAAACAATTTCTGTATTATTTCTTTTACTAAAAATTAAACGACACTATCTTTCTGTTTTCTGTATTATTAAAGGGCATATGTATTTAAATCAATTTCTGAGACTAGCTGCTGTGATTTAAAACGTAAGAGGCTTTACTGCTTTATAAAGCATAGGGCCTCATCACATTTAAATCCGGCCCTGGGTGCAACAGAGTGTCTAGGTGGTCTGGCAGGGGACATGGCAAGATGGCGATACATCAGACTACTCCTGGTAACATCAGAATTGGATCTCTGCACTGGCTGCTGAAGAATGGGACAGAGTGCTTATGGCAATGTCCTGAGTGCTGTGATGTTGATTGCTTTGAGTTGAAATAAGCCTAGCTGGACAGATCTCTATTCTACTGTCAAAGCTTTCCTCCTAGGCTAGCTGTCAGATCAGATGTACAGTACTCTGGCCTACTGTCAAAGCCTTCCTTCTTGGCTAGCAGTACTCTGTCAGAAAGCCTCCTTCTACTTGGCTAGTCAGATCATGTACAGTACTCTGGCCTACTGTCAAAGCTTTCCTTCTTGGCTAGCTGTCAGATCAGATGTACAGTACTCTGGCCTACTGTCAAAGCCTTCCTTCTTGGCTAGCTGTCAGATCAGATGTACAGTACTCTGGCCTACTGTCAAAGCTTTCCTTCTTGGCTAGCTGTCAGATCAGATGTACAGTACTCTGGCCTACTGTCAAAGCCTTCCTTCTTGGCTAGCTGTCAGATCAGATGTACAGTACTCTGGCCTACTGTCAAAGCTTTCCTTCTTGGCTAGCTGTCAGATCAGATGTACAGTACTCTGGCCTACTGTCAAAGCCTTCCTTCTTGGCTAGCTGTCAGATCAGATGTACAGTACTCTGGCCTACTGTCAAAGAGATCAGATGTACAGTACTCTGGCCTACTGTCAAAGCCTACTGTCAACTGCTTTCCTTCTTGGCTAGCTGTCAGATCAGATGTACAGTACTCTGGCCTACTGTCAAAGCCTTCCTTCTTGGCTAGCTGTCAGATCAGATGTACAGTACTCTGGCCTACTGTCAAAGCCTTCCTTCTTGGCTAGCTGTCAGATCAGATGTACAGTACTCTGGCCTACTGTCAAAGCCTTCCTTCTTGGCTAGCTGTCAGATCAGATGTACAGTACTCTGGCCTACTGTCAAAGCTTTCCTTCTTGGCTAGCTGTCAGATCAGATGTACAGTACTCTGGCCTACTGTCAAAGCCTTCCTTCTTGGCTAGCTGTCAGATCAGATGTACAGTACTCTGGCCTACTGTCAAAGCTTTCCTTCTTGGCTAGCTGTCAGATCAGATGTACAGTACTCTGGCCTACTGTCAAAGCTTTCCTTCTTGGCTAGCTGTCAGATCAGATGTACAGTACTCTGGCCTACTGTCAAAGCTTTCCTTCTTGGCTAGCTGTCAGATCAGATGTACAGTACTCTGGCCTACTGTCAAAGCTTTCCTTCTTGGCTAGCTGTCCGATCAGATGTACAGTACTCTGGCCTACTGTCAAAGCTTTCCTTCTTGGCTAGCTGTCAGATCAGATGTACAGTACTCTGGCCTACTGTCAAAGCTTTCCTTCTTGGCTAGCTGTCAGATCAGATGTACAGTACTCTGGCCTACTGTCAAAGCTTTCCTTCTTGGCTAGCTGTCAGATCAGATGTACAGTACTCTGGCCTACTGTCAAAGCTTTCCTTCTTGGCTAGCTGTCAGATCAGATGTACAGTACTCTGGCCTACTGTCAAAGCTTTCCTTCTTGGCTAGCTGTCTAGGATACGATTGTGTTGTGTTATTATACAGTATTAAACTATGTGCATTCTCTGGCATATACATATTATTTTCTTAATAATAATTTTAAAAAATATTGTCTTCATTGGCAGACATTCCGGCACATAGAGGAGTTCTTTGGACTTCTGCTGACTACTTTGGCAGACCCCTCTGATGATGTAAGTTTATGGAGTTTCTGAGCTCACTATCACATATATGTTTGCTTTGTTTCTTTATTACTGTTTGATTATGGAATATTTTCTAGTAACTGTTTGTTTTGGTCTGCCATTTCTGTAGACATCTGTTCTATAGAAAATGTGTTTATGTTTAAATTTGGTCGATTGGATAGAAAACTTAGAGTTCATTAAGAGCTGTTTACATTTAGTCCATTCCGTAGAAAAATTATAGCTCATTACATATTGTCCATTGTTTAAAAAAAAAAACAACTTGCTAACTTAGTCCTTTCCGTAAAAATAAATGTATTCTCTGCCTTTAAAAAAAAGCATTAGCCACATTGCATTGTGGTTTGCAACTAGGCTGCAGTATCTTCACCATCTGGCCCAGTACACCCAATGTCAGCACAGTATTAATTAGTCGATTTGTATGACTTGCTTGTTAAAGGTTAGTTGGTTTATCCCTTCACTCAACCACCACGATCATCACCCCAGTTGGAATCTGGAATGCACACAGAAAACACAGGAAACTGATTGCTCACATTGCACATGGTCCGTTCAATAGAAAAGATGGAGTGCACATGTTGCACATGTAAACAAAAAAAATATATAAAATAAAAATAAGTCCCCTTTCAATACCTCCAGGCATATTGATTAAGAGCTAGGCCTATATTTTATAGACCAATCGGCACTTGGCGGGTGATGTGGTCAGCATCACGCCGGCCACCTTTGCTTCCAAGAACATTACCTTGGTACCCATTCAAGGCAGGGTCGACCTGGGAGCCAAGATCATTTTTGAAACAAGTCTGGCTCTATCAGGGCCTGATCCCACAAGCTTGTGATCCGGAGTGTAACATACAACTTTCTGTGATAGGTGGTAACATACAACTTTCTGTGACAGGTGGTAACATACAACTTTCTGTCACATTGTGGTAACATACACTTTTCTGTCACATTTTGGTAACATACAACTTTCTGTCACAATATGGTAACATACAACTTTCTGTCACATAGTGGTAACATACAACTTTCTGTCACAGGTGGTAACATACAACTTTCTGTCACAGGTGGTGCTACTAGACCTTGAAGTGCTTTCTGAGATCTCCTCCAATCCTGCAGGATTTGGAGCTGTCCCAGGTCAGCCTGAGGGAGGAGCTACCACACCATCTTCAGACAAATCCGCCGGAGAGTTGAAGCTGAACCCTTACTTCACCAAACTGATGAACGGTCTCATCGAGTGGTTCAAGAAAGACAAGCAGTTATTAGAAGATAGGGGAGCATTTATTATCAGGTAGTTTCGGATGCTCTCAATTGTGTGAAGCCATTTGTAATTTATGAATATTTTATGTGAAACCTTTATCCTGTCACCCTTGTTGGAGGAAGCAAGGCATCTGATTCCCCACTCAGGGGCTAAAAAAGAGTATATGCTTCGAGTGCTGGAGGTCCCGGGTTCAAACCCCTGTTAAGGCTGAAATTTGTTCATGAGGACTTCTAGTAATTTACCCTGGTCTCTGATTAGTAAGACTGGACGCCCGTGTGTATTGTTGCGCACCGCACATCAAAAATCCCTTGGCAGTTGGAAATAAAAAAAGAGTAGCTTAACAGCACTAACTGGGCAAAATTTGGAGTTAAAAATCTACCCAAAGTATTTTCAGGATTATCACCGGTGCTACGGAGTTCGTGCACTGCGCTGAGATTCTTTGGACTCAGGTTTGAGTTAGAAGAAGAACGGAGTATTTATGGGTTACTACCCATGTGCCATGATGTTGATCCGTCGTCTAAACCTAAGCGTAAAGGGAGGAGTATATAAAATTTGTTCCTCAGAATAGGGGAAGAGAAGAAGATGAGGGGGAAAAAGAGCAGGATGAGAAAAGAAAAAGAAAGAGGAGAAAGAGGATAAGGATATAGTGGAGAAAAAGAAGGATGATCATAATAATGGTGATGAGGAAAAGAAGAAGGATGATGATAATGATGATGAGGAAAAGAAGAAGAAGAAGGATGAGGAGGAGAAGAAGGATAATGATGGTTATGATTGTCATAGACCTACAGCAAATGTGCATACTGTCAAACTATCAGAGGGCCAATGATTTTTTTACAGTAAATTGAAATTATCAGAAGGACCCTTGGGGGCGGTGTGGCTTTGACCATAAGTGTAGACCCTCCCACTCGACGCTGTGACACTATAGCTGTAATTTTGCCTCATAAGAACATTACATATATTACAGGCGTATAATGTATGTTGTCGATGTTATGGATATTTCAGGTAACTCCCTTACTTGAGCCATAGCCAACACGTAGAAACATCTCCATGACAATGATGAGGAAAAGGAGATGAAGGGACTGAGTAAACTTGACAAGAACTTTTATAGCAACTGAAGAGACTTGAGTAAACTTGACAAGAACTTTTATAACAACTGAAGAGACCTGAGTAAACTTGACAAGAACTTTTATAACAACTGAAGAGACTTAAGTAAACTTGATAAGAACTGTTATAACAACTGAAGAGACTTGAGTAAACTTGACAAGAACTTTTATAACAACTGAAGAGACCTGAGTAAACATGACAAGAACTTTTATAACAACTGAAGAGACCTGAGTAAACATGACAAGAACTTTTATAACAACTGAAGAGACTTGAGTAAACTTTTAAAAAAACTTTTATAACAACTGAAGAGACCTGAGTACACTTGATTAGAACTTTTATAACAACTGAAGAGACCTGAGTAAACATGACAAAAACTTTTATAACAACTGAAGAGACTGAGTAAACTTTAAAAAAAACTTTTATAACAACTGAAGAGACTGAGTAAACTTTAAAAAAAACTTTTATAACAACTGAAGAGACCTGAGTACACTTGATTAGAACTTTTATAACAACTGAAGAGACTTAAGTAAACTTTAAAAAAAACTTTTATAACAACTGAAGAGACTTGAGTAAACTTGATAAGAACTTTTATAACAACTGAAGAGACTTGAGTAAACTTGACAAAAACTTTTATAACATGTCTTCTGGTGTCTGTTTCAGGCAGCTGTCGATTTACTTGAGTGCCGAAGCCATTTTCCGAAGTCTGGCAGAGATTCTGATAGAAGAGGATGACGTGAATTTTGCTTGCACTATGGTTCAGTGTCTGAACACAATCTTGCTGACCTCCACTGAAATCTATGAGCTGAGGTCACAGCTGAAGGAACTTGCCACAGAGGTATGTGCTCGGAGGATGCTGGCTTCTTGCCTTGCTTGTTGCAAATGTGCATGCAACACCTAGCGCCACCTAACAAACAAAGATATAAAGGCCGATGTTGCTGTCATCTATTGAAACCTTTAGAAATCACCAACTACATTTTCCTGCCATCCTATAACCATTTGTGTCTTTCTTATTGACTTCCCCTCATACTTTGTTGATTTAAGGTGAATTAGGCTTGAATTACAGTACATTGTTGATTTAAGGTCCATATTTTTTATGTACTTTATTGATTTCAGGTCTAATGTCTAGATAGATACACTGTTGATTTAAGGCCTATATTTTAGATGTACTTTATTGATAAATATCTAATGTTTAGATACGCTTTATTGATTTAAGGTCCATATTTTAGATACACTTTGTTGAATTAGGGTCAGATTTGTTTTAGATGTTCTTTATTAAGGTCGATTTATAATGCTGGTTTGTCTCTTGCAGGGTCGATTTAAAATGCTGGTTTGTCTCTTGCAGGGTCGATTTATAATGCTGGTTTGTCTCTTGCAGGGTCGATTTATAATGCTGGTTTGTCTCTTGCAGGAGAGCTGCAGCCTGTTCTGTTGCTTGTACAAGTGCTGGTCACACAGCCCTGTCTCCCTCATGTCCTTGTGTTACCTCACCCAGAACTACAAGCAGGCCTACCGACTGATGCAGATTTTGTATCCTTCCATGTGGGACTGGGGGGGGGGGGGGTGTGAGACTGATGCAGTCAGGGGTTGGCAAGAGAAGGGCCAGGTCTATTTCTTGTATGGAAAGATATCAAACCAAACAAAAATGTAGAACCAGTCAACTTCACTTTATCACAGGCAATAAGTAAACTTTGCAGCTAGAGAGCCATTATCAGCTCATTACATGAATATACAATACAACAAATACAAATTCAGCGCTGCTTGTGCAGGGCCCTCACAATATCTAACTTGTCATACATCAATTCGCCACCAAGTGTTGCAGAGCCAGCCTGTCTGCCTGCTCAGTTCCCAACACACCGGCATGACCCGGAGAAAATATGCTAAATAGATCCAGTACCTCTGAAGTGCTGCTCTGCACGAAGCATGTCTTTGTTCACCTTAATTCAGTATTCAACAAAAAATACAAAGAGGAATAGATACAAATCACTTAGCAGAAGCATTTCTGAGATAAATCACATTTCTGCTTCATGTATTTCTTGTTTAGGAGTTGGCTGATCTTCTGGACTGTCGAAGGGAGAGCATGGCACAAAGATCAAACACCATAGATCCGGTAATGATCCCCAGGGACTCCACTCATAAACTGAATGACGTGTGCTTAAATCTAAGTCATGACTTTCAGTGCAAAAGGCAAACAAACAAATGATGGACAGTCAGTTAGTGAGGGTTAGGTGCAACGGAAAGAGTTTTGCTTAAGAGGGGGAAGAAGTTAAGCTCTGCTTTATATAGACAACCATCGGGGTTATTTTACATTGAAAATGAAAACAGGATTTGTCTAAGATGGAAAATGAAAACAGGACTTGTCTAAGATGGAAAATTAAAACAGGACTTGTCTAAGATGGAAAATGAAAATAGGACTAAGATGGAAAATGAAAACAGGACTTGTCTAAGGTGGAAAATGAAAACAGGACTTGTCTAAGGTGGAAAATGAAAACAGGACTTGTCTAAGATGGAAAATGAAAACAGGACTTGTCTAAGATGGAAAATGAAAACAGGACTTGTCTAAGATGGAAAATGAAAACAGGACTTATCTAAGATGGAAAATGAAAACAGGACTTGTCTAAGATGGAAAATGAAAACAGGACTTGTCTAAGATGGAAAATGAAAGTCTGGGTTATTTTTAATTGAACATTGAAAGTCAAGATTTTTTAATACATCCAAAATGAAAGTAAAGATTTGTGAAAAATGGAAGTCAGATGTTGATTAGAGGTTGACTGTAGTATATAATATCTATATTATTGTTGCACAGTGGGAATTGGTTGACAAACTGTGTAATTGGGGAATATAATGATAGTTATTTTTTGTGTGTTTTATAAGGAGAGAACAGACAGTCAGGGTTTGACTCTAGGTGGCGGCTGGTTTGTTATCTTTAGTTAAAATCAGGGTTTGACAGAAGCGTGTCTTATTATGCTTAGGTTAGAATGATGAGTCAGATAAATTAGTTTAAGTCCTGGTTTGACATGAGATAGAAAATTTGTTTCTTGTTTGTTCAGACCAGAAATTCATATAGTTCCTGCCGTGTGATCCTGGTTGTCATATCTACCCCCAACCTTCTGTCTCATGCATGTTTAATCAGTTTTGGCATGATAAGTCTACCCTGTTTTCACATAATTTGTCTCTAATTGGCCAACTGTCCATGATTCACTTCCATATATCAGGATAGGATATTATAAAGCTGTTGAGAGCAGCAGTACTGAGTTAAATTAGATGGTAAGTCAAAGTTCCTCAAATGAACAAACAAACAAACAAACTTTATTTTCAAAGGGTAACAAATTAGGCACGCAGACCCGTCTTACATTCAGGCCTTTCAGACACCCATCTTTCACACAGCAGTTGTATTTTATCAGTAAAGCATGTTCATGTAATAATGTGCATATTATGAGTATCAAGTCAAAAAACAAAAGCATTGAGACATGTAAGCTAATTATTTGTAGGTTATGACACAGTCGTGCACTTCTGTTTAGTCATTTCATACTGTTTTGGTTTTGAAGAGGTCTTGTCATTGCTGCCTGTGATTTCTTTGACCTTTGACCCAGCGGAGACTTGGAGGTTACGGTTGATTTCTTGAAGGAGATAGACAAGCTGGTCCAGCTAATAGAGTCGCCAATCTTCGCATGTGAGTACTTGGGTCAAAACCTGTATAGTTTGGTTAATTAGTACATGCTTTGTTTAGGTATTCACCTTGCAGCCCTTAGATTTTGAGATCGAATCCTCATCAAAACGAATTTGAACAGATAAAACCCAAAAAAAGTGACTTTGGCTCCCAAGTCAATCCAGCCTGAAAAGGGTACCAGGAGAAGTGGCCGACTTGATGTTCACCATGTCCATCACACATTGTATGCTGACTGGTCAATGAAGATGTGACATCACACACCATGTGCTGACTGGTCAATGAAGATGTGACATCACACATCATGTGCTGACTGGTCAATGAAGATGTGACATCACCCATCATGTGCTGACTGGTCAATGAAGATGTGACATCACACATCATGTGCTGACTGGTCAATGAAGATGTGACATCACACATCATGTGCTGACTGGTCAATGAAGATGTGACATCACACATCATGTGCTGACTGGTCAATGAAGATGTGACATCACACATCATGTGCTGACTGGTCAATGAAGATGTGACATCACACATCATGTGCTGACTGGTCAATGAAGATGTGACATCACACATCATGTGCTGACTGGTCAATGAAGATGTGACATCACACATCACGTGCTGACTGGTCAATGAAGATGTGACATCACACATCGTGTGCTGACTGGTCAATGAAGATGTGACATCACCCATCATGTGCTGACTGGTCAATGAAGATGTGACATCACACATTATGTGCTGACTGGTCAATGAAGATGGGACATCACACACCATGTGCTGACTGGTCAATGAAGATGTGACATCACACATCATGTGCTGACTGGTCAATGAAGATGTGACATCACACATCATGTGCTGACTGGTCAATGAAGATGTGACATCACACATCATGTGCTGACTGGTCAATGAAGATGTGACATCACACATCCTGTGCTGACTGGTCAATGAAGATGTGACATCACACATCATGTGCTGACTGGTCAATGAAGATGTGACATCACACATCATGTGCTGACTGGTCAATGAAGATGTGACATCACACATCATGTGCTGACTGGTCAATGAAGATGTGACATCACACATCGTATGCTGACTGGTCAATGAAGATGTGACATCACACATCCTGTGCTGACTGGTCAGTGAAGATGTGACATCACACATCATGTGCTGACTGGTCAATGAAGATGTGACATCACCCATCGTGTGCTGACTGGTCAATGAAGATGTGACATCACCCATCGTATGCTGACTGGTCAATGAAGATGTGACATCACCCATCATGTGCTGACTGGTCAATGAAGATGTGACATCACACATCGTATGCTGACTGGTCAATGAAGATGTGACATCACACACCATGTGCTGACTGGTCAATGAAGATGTGACATCACACATCATGTGCTGACTGGTCAATGAAGATGTGACTTCACACATCGTATGCTGACTGGTCAATGAAGATGTGACTTCACACATCGTATGCTGACTGGTCAATGAAGATGTGAGTGTAGAATCATATACGTGAGGAGTCACTAGCATGAAAGTTCCCTTTCTCCCTTGGGTTCCCTTTCTCCCTTGGGTTCCCTTTCTCCTTTGGGTTCCCTTTCTCCCTTGGGTTCCCTTTGCCCTATTTGTGGGAAGTTCCGGTGTGTATACGTCAGGTGACAGGTTTAATTCCCGGCACGGTAACTATAGCTTTTGATTTTTATGTTGTCTAATGTGTTCTTCTATCTTTCTACTTCTTTCTATGAGTGCCGATCACTACACTTTTTGTTACTTGATTAATTCATAATGTTTTTGGGAGGGGATGGGATGGGGGGAGGGGAGGAATAGACCCACATACTTCCCTAAGAAGCATGTTGTAAAACCTGGCTAATTAGGGGTGTTTCCTCCGTAAGTCAGAGTCATTTGACTGTTCAAGAGAATAGGGTCCCCTGCAGACCTTTGATAACAGAAGAGGAGCTCCCCCAGTCTTATCTAATTAGGAACCACACCACTAGGCCATAAAACCTGTATTCACTTCCAGAACTGTTACATGCCCCTAGCAGTAATCTGTCTGTTGACATGAGCAGGAATATTCAGTTGTCATCATCATCATCATCATCAGAGCGCCTTACCGACACATTTGGGCGAACGTGCCTCTCCTCAGCTTGCGACCTCTAAGATCATATATCACTTCAGATGCTCACCAGTCCATACCATGACAAAAGGATGTAAAGAATTGTTTTGCATTGTCCCTCTGTGTCTCTCTATCCACAAATCTTTCTAGTCATCACAATATATTGCAGTTTCCTTTTCTCATAACTGGGCCAACAACTGATAATTGTCTCTATGATATTTATGAAAAGTTGTCTCTTGACCCTCAACTCTCTGAGAACATCTGGCCACATGTTGGTCCTCCGGTGAATTTTAGGTTTCTATGAAACCGTCAGTGAATGTGGCTTAGGCATTGCTAATGCACTTTGTAATCCTGAGGTGCCAGGTTCGAACCTAGCTGCAGGTGATTGAGCAGCAAACTGTGGGTTTGACAGTTCTTTCGAGAGCTCACCCTTTAGTGAGAGGTGGTGGTAAACTACTGAACGTAAACTTCCTAGTAGAATCACAAGCTGCCAAACAAATTTTGGGGTTGGTTCTGCAACACAGAACTAATTTTTAATTGTGAAACCACATCTTTTAGGTCTCACGAAATTGTTTGTCTTGTTTACTGATTTCAGTTATAAATTTATTTCTTCATTTTCTTCTTTGTTCACTGGCTGTAAGCTGCGGTGGAAACTCCTGGTTGTTCATCCATTTGGGCTTTGGTTTTGTGCCAGGGTCTGATTTTTGCGTGGACTTTCGTTTTACTGGCTTATTTGTGTGCAGCTGGTTTTTTTTTGCCGCTCGGGCAGATGCACTCAGACTTTAAAGCAACCTCCCAGTTAGTCAACTCCTACGACATGCTTGTTGGAAAGGCATTTCGTCCATCTTTGTTTCCCCCGCAATGGGGCCCTGGAACCCATACGGAGAATAAACTGATTTAAAGCAGTGAGCTTCAAACTGCTATGCCCAATCATGTGAGTAAACGTAAGTAAAGCACCCTTTTCCACATTTTCAGGCATATAGGGCTAGACCTATATTTTATAGACCAGTCGGCACATAGTGTATTATGTGGCAGCATCACACCAGCCACTTTTACTTCCCTACTAAAAATCAGTTACCTGGTTAAGACTTGGTTGACCTGAGAGCCAAAGTCATTTTAAAAAAAAGTCCTGCTCTGTCCCGACCTGCAGCCATGACCTTCGCATCCGCAGATGAGCTTCTAGCTACTTCACCACTGCAGCTCCCTGTTCGGTCATGAATATATATTTTTGTTTTGTTTTTAAGGGATTTAAAAAAAAAGTTTTTGAGCAAGAAGTTGGTTGCCATAAATAGTTGCCATAACTAGTTGCCATGACTAGTTTCCATGACTGGTTGCCATGACTAGTTGCCATGACCGGTTGCCATGACTGGTTGCCATGACTAGTTGCCATGACTAGTTGCCATGACTGGTTGCCATGACTAGTTGTCATGACTAGTTGCCATGACTGGTTGCCATGGCTAGTTGCTTAGTTGCCATGACTAGTTGCCATTAGTTGCTATGACTAGTTGTCATGACTAGTTGCTGACTAGTTGCCATGACTAGTTGTCATAACTGGTTGCCATGACTAGTTGCCATGACTGGTTGCCATGACTGGTTGCCATGACTAGTTGCCATGACTAGTTGCCATGACCAGTTGCCATGACTGCATGACTGGTTGCCATGACTAGTTGCCATGACTAGTAGCCACGACTGGTTGCCATGACTAGTTGCCATGACTAGTTGCCATGACTGGTTGCCATGACTGGTTGCCATGGCTAGTTGCTTAGTTGCCATGACTAGTTGCCATTAGTTGCTATGACTAGTTGTCATGACTAGTTGCTGACTAGTTGCCATGACTAGTTGTCATAACTGGTTGCCATGACTAGTTGCCATGACTGGTTGCCATGACTGGTTGCCATGACTAGTTGCCATGACTAGTTGCCATGACCAGTTGCCATGACTGCATGACTGGTTGCCATGACTAGTTGCCATGACTAGTTGCCATGACTAGTAGCCACGACTGGTTGCCATGACTAGTTGCCATGACTGGTTGCCATGACTGGTTGCCATGACTAGTTGTCATGACTAGTTGCCATGACTAGTTGCCATGACTGGTTGCCATGGCTAGTTGCCATGACTAGTAGCCATGACTGGTTGCCATGACTAGTTGCCATGGCTAGTTGCTCAGTTGCCATGACTAGTTGCCATTAGTTGCTATGACTAGTCATGACTAGTTGCTGACTAGTTGCCATGACTAGTTGCCATGACTGGTTGCCATGACTGGTTGCCATGACTAGTTGCCATGACTAATTGCCATGAATGGTTGCCATGACTGGTTGCCATGACTAGTTGCCATGACTGGTTGCCATAACTGGTTGCCATGACTAGTTGCCATGACTAGCTGCCATGACTAGTTGCCATGACTAGTTGCCATTAGTTGCCATGACTAGTTGTCATGACTGGTTGCCATGACTGGTTGCCATGACTTGTGTTTCAGACTTACGACTGCAGCTGCTGGAGGCACACCACAACCCGGAGTTGATCAAGAGCCTGTATGGTCTCCTCATGGTCCTGCCTCAGTCGGAGGCTTTCAAGTTGCTGCGCTATAGACTGGAGTGTATACCTCAGATTAACTTGACGCTAGCCTTAGATACAGAGTAAGTTTGTTTTATGTGTTTTCCTTCCATTTCTAGACACAGTCAGTCAGTTTAGATAATTTTCTTCTGGTTCTAAAAATAGTAAGTCAGTTTAAAGATTTTATTATAGTTCTAGAAACAGTAAATCTGTTTAGATGATTTTCTTCTAGTTCTGCTTGGAGGCATGTTTGGATGTCAGCTTGGAGGCATGTTTGGATGTTAGCTTGTATGCATGTTTGGATGTCAGCTTGAATGCATGTTTGGATGTCAGCTTGGAGGCATGTTTGGATGTTAGCTTGGAGGCATGTTTGGATGTCAGCTTGGAGGCATGTTTGGATGTCAGCTTGGAGGCATGTTTGGATGTCAGCTTGGAGGCATGTTTGGATGTCAGCTTGGAGGCATGTTTGGATGTCAGCTTGGAGGCATGTTTGGATGTCAGCTTGGAGGCATGTTTGGATGTCAGCTTGGAGGCATGTTTGGATGTTAGCTTGGAGGCATGTTTGGATGTCAGCTTGTGGGCATGTCTGGATGTCAGCTTGGAGGCATGTTTGGATGTTAGATGCAGGCATGTTTGGATGTCAGCTTGGGAGCATGTTTGGATGTCAGCTTGAAGGCATGTTTAGATGTCAGCTTGGGGGCATGTTTGGATGTCAGCTTGGGGGCATGTTTGGATGTCAGCTTGTGGGCATGTCTGGATGTCAGCTTGGAGGCATGTTTGGATGTTAGATGCAGGCATGTTTGGATGTCAGCTTGGGAGCATGTTTGGATGTCAGCTTGGGGGCATGTTTGGATGTCAGCTTGGAGGCATGTTTGGATGTCAGCTTGGAGGGGGGGGGGCATGTTTGGATGTCAGCTTGGAGGCATGTTTGAATGTCAACTTGGGGCATGTTTGGATGTTAGCTTGAGGGCATGTTTGGATGTCAGCTTGGAGGCATGTTTGGATGTCAGCTTGGGAGCATGTTTGGATGTCAGCTTGGGAGCATGTTTGGATGTCAGCTTGGAGGCATGTTTGAATGTCAACTTGGGGCATGTTTGGATGTTAGCTTGAGGGCATGTTTGGATGTCAGCTTGTGGGCATGTTTGAATGTCAGCTTGGAGGCATGTTTGGATGTCAGCTTGGGGGCATGTTTGGATGTCAGCTTGTGGGCATGTTTGAATGTCAGCTTGAAGGCATGTTTGGATGTCAGCTTTGGGTGCATGTTTGGATGTCAGCTTGGGGGCATGTTTGGATGTACTAGGCAAGGATTGGCCAAATTGCGACTGGCTAAGATTAACCTTAAGTTGCTGTTTCCTTTGTCAGGTTTTGTTATCTTTTTATGTCATGTTATTAAAATCGACATCACTGCACATTAGGCATTTCCGATTGTGCTTAGTCCTTCACTGCAGCAGCCAGCCTAAGGTACTTGTACTGATTTGTCCCTATCTTCTTCTTTGTTCACCGGCTGTAAGCTCTATCAGAAATTCCTGGTTGTTTGTCCATTTTGACTTCAGCTTCGTGCCAGGGCCTGAGTTTTGCTTTCAGATTTGTTTTACTGGCTTATTTATGTGCAGTTGATTGTTCCTTGCCTCTCGGGCAGATATACTGACTTTGGAGGAGGCCTCCAATTTGTTGACTTTTATGACATTATTTTTTGGGAAAACATTGGGTCTTGTGTTGAGTTGTGTCGAGTTAAGAATTGACATCACAGCACTCGGGGCATTCTCATACGCACTCTGTCCCATTCCTCAGCAGCCAGCGCAGAGTTCCAATACTAATAGTGTCTGTCGTAGTCTGGTTGTATGTCTGTCCTGCCTTTCCTCTGAGCGTGGTGTGCCGGCCAAACCCTCTGGTCACACCCAGGTGCATCATTCTCTCCAGCACATAATAATCTACTTTTTCTTCTTTCCTTACTTGTTCCCAAAAAGCCCTGACCACATCTGCCTTGTCATGTATCAGTTCACCACCCAGCGCTGCAGATCCAGCCAGTGTGTCTGCCTGTTCATTCCCCACCACACCGGCATGGCCTGGCCTGCCTCACAGGCAGCATAGATAAACTTCACCCTGCTTTTCTCCCACAACATGCAATCATGTAAGCTTCAGAGATTCATCATCATCTGAGGGCCTAGTCCTTACAGCAATTATGATATCTGCTCTGTCCATGCTGATTCCTGTATGCATTGGTGCATTACTTGCCAGTTAGTCTGCTCGTATTACTGTTTACTCCGGCATATTGGATATATAGCAAAAAAGTGCGACTTGAAGGCTTCAAATGCTTTTTACCCATTCAAACTGGAGGCTGCCGGTTGTGATTTTTTAAAGCATTTTCTTGCAGTTTGAAATTATTACAGTGTGCAGTTACTTGCTCTGCTGTCCTGCATTGCTCTAGAAGCAACTTTTATCTTCATGGTCATACTTGACAAAGTTGTCTGATAAACATTGCTGTCCTTTTTAAATGTTGTCCCCCATAAGTTTCAAAGAATTTTTTTTTTTTAGGTGTATCATTGTCTTTATTCTAAATGATTGATAACAATACAAGTAAATATCCTATTGTAATAGTAACCAGTGACCAATTGTTCTCTACCTACCCTAGCACCAAGCAACGAGGGGAAGAGAGAAGTTTGGTGAAAAAGATCAACTTTGACAGTCTCCTGGACCACTTCCTGTCAGTACAAGCTAAACACAGAGAGTACAAGAGAAAACAAGTGGCCTACAAGATCTCTGCTGTCAAGAACATAGACATGAAGTAATTAGTGGCGGAGACATGATCTCACACAGTTGGTCCTTCTTGGCTTGTGCAATAGGGCGTGGTCACATTCAAGGGGAGGCAAGTGTGTGTGTGAGTGCAAGTTGTGAGAGTTATTTCAGCACGTGAATGATATCTGTCTGTATTGCCTGTATTACCACTTTTAGTGGTAATATAGTGTCACCAGTGCCAGACGTGGACATTAACAACACAACAACAACAACAAAGAAAAATCAAAACAGCAGAAATGAAAGTCTACGACAAATCCTTAATCTGACTATAAGTGACAGGATCAGAAACGACTATATCAGAAATAGGTTGGGACGTAACAAGTACTAAACTACATCAAGAGACAGCAGATCAAATGGTTTATACAGATGTCAAACCTACCACCAGATTGTACACCACAGAGAGGCCTATCACCTAGACATAATGGAAGCAGAGCTGGAGGTCGACCACACAAGCGATGGATAGATGGAATTTCCGAGACCCTAAATACCAACATCTGTGTTGCACGTACTAGGGCTGGCACCCATGTCGCTTGAGAACCTGGGGCTCAAGGGCAGGACTGGACGAGAGAAGAACACGGGCCCTATAGAACTGGGACAGTGAGCCTGAAGATTTAAGGCCGTGCGGCTAGTGCTGTTGCCACAGACTGTTCAAGTTAGGATTGTTTATTATTTTTCCCCAAAATCAAACCCAGGTCTCCTGCATGAGAGGCCAGAGCTGTAACCACTCGGCAAGCTGCTGCTCAATTGATGTTGTTATTATAATGAAATGGTATAACATGTGGCAAATGTGGAAAAATTGTTGAGAAAGTGGAATGAGTGTCTAAAACACATCACCACAGAACAGAGAGGGTGGGGGCAAGAAGAGTTGTTGGAAGACAGGAAGAGACGGTTCTTGACAGCCTTCTGTCGTGGCGTGGAAAACTTTCAACTCACAGGTTGATTCGTTCTGTTGAATACCGCGAAATGTGGAACAGCATCGCCACCAACATCCGTTGGCATTGAATTTGACAGTAATAGAAAGTGTATTTGGACGACTTGGTGCCTTTTGGACACATTGTGAGTGGAAATGGACTCAGGAACTTGCTAACGACAGACAAGAGGAAGACAAAGAGATAAATATCTGAACGGCTAGGCATTATAGATGGGGGCAAGACAAGAACACTGACCTGATCCATGGTTCTGGTGGTCGTGTGGGATGGCGACATCTGACACCCCACACTTATCGCCATAGCACGTGATGATGGTTTCAGCCAACTATAATCATCAACATCACGTGCCTTACCGGCTGGCATGGGAAATCATGCCTCTCCACAGTCTGCGATCTGCAACTGCTTACTTCAGTTTGTGTGTTGACACCCATCCAGGTCATGACAAAAGGCTGGTTAAGAATCTTCTTGTGTGTCTTCCTCTTTCTTTCTTTCCACTGAAGTTTCTAGTGAGTCACAACCTGTGGGCCTACAAATATACCATAGAAGGGCCAAAATATAAAAGACCATTCTCGCATCAATGGCTGATAGTACATATGGTTTTATATCCCAATTTTTTTTTAATAGACCAATAAGCTTTTAATAGTTGATATGGTCGACATCGTGCTGGCCTCCTTTACTCTGCAGAGTATTTCCCGGTGTCCATTTTAGGATGGTTGACCTGGGTGTGCAGGTCATTTATAAAAAATATAATTTGGCTACTGATTCTATAGACAAATCGGCATTCGGTTGGTGATGTGGTCGACATCACACCAGCCGCCTTTACTTTCCAGGACTTTGCCTAGTACCCATTTAAGGCTGGGTCGACCTGAAAGCCAAGGTCAATTTGAAAAAAAAGTCTGGCTCTGTTTGGGTTCGAGCCCATTATCTTCGGATCCGCAGGTAAAAATAGACCATACTATGGCTTAATTCTTTTATGGAAGGGCCGTTTAACTAAGTTTACTCAGGGGTCAAATTGTTGAAATTGTTGATCGTCACTGGCAGAAGCCTCAGTGTAGAAAGATCTTTAATAAAATACAGTCGGCAAGTGATCAGCGAGCCACTTACTAGCCCTCTTCAGGCCAGATTGGGCCCACGGACCGCCAGTTGAATAGCCCTGTTCCAAGCTATTGAGAGGAGAGGAGGAAAGAGTTATACATGCACAATACACATGCACACGTTTGCCAGGAGTGTTAGAAATTGCCTTGAATTATGGAAGAGATTATATAAATGTAAATATAATTGTAAATTATCCTCAGTAATCAGTCAAAGAATTTCATACTCAAATAATATCTGTTTTGTATGGGCCTGGATTATGTTGTTTTATTTTGCTCTTATTATGTTTATAACATGGTCACCATGTGGCTACATTCCTGCGATAGTTTCACTCACATGGCCAGGTTTTTTAGCATTGCAATGCTAGTCTTTTCTCAAGAATATTTGACATGTTGTCATATACACTGCTATAAACATTGTGATTGAAGTGAGAAAAGATGATTGTTCTGTGTGTGTGTGGATGCAGTTTGCTTGTGGTGTGTGTTTGTGTGCAAAAATACTGTTTGCTTGAAATATTCTTTCTGCACAGAAACATTATATTAAAGGACAATAAGAAAAAAGGAATAAATAAATTGTTATGTTGTTTCACACATTAAAGATATTACTATGAGTTCTCTTTATATTCTGTAATGTTTTACACAGTACAATGTGAGAGAACGGTACATTTAGTTCATTATTTACTGACAAATAAATATGTTTGAATATGCTTTCAGTGCTAATTAGTGCAGTTGTCGCAGTAATGATTGGTTGAATTGTTTTGTTATTGGCTATGTGACAGATTGATTGAATTGTTTTAGTTACCATTGCTTATTAGTTGAAAATTTGTTTGTTAAAAGTTCTAGCTGAATAAATAGATAAATTGTGTAATTGTGTGTGCTGATTGGTTGAAACTTTTGGCTGCATATGCTAATTTTAAAAAAAAAAATATTTAATTGTGTATGCTGATTTGTTAAAATATTTTTTAGTCTGTGCTGATTGGTTGAAACATTTACTTGCATATGGTGATTGCTTGAAATATTTAGTTGAATGAAATAATTAGTTGTATGCATTGATTGATTGAAATATTTAGTTGTATGAAATATGTGTGCATTGATTGGTTGAAATATTTAGTTGTGTGCACTGATTGGTGGAAATATTTAGTTGTATGCACTGATTGGTTGAAATATTTAGTTGTATGCATTGATTGATTGAAATATTTAGTTGTATGAAATATTTAGTTGAATGCATTGATTGGTTGAAATATTTAGTTGTATGTACTGACATATTTAGTTGTAGGCATTGATTGGTGGAAATATTTAGTTGTATGCACTGATTGGTGGAAATATTTAGTTGTATGCACTGATTGGTGGAAATATTTAGTTGTATGCACTGACTGGTTGAAAAATTTAATTATTTATTGGTGCTAATGGCATTGGATGTTTAGTTATTGTGGTGACTGATCGATTGAGAAATATTGACATATTTTGATGATTGATTAATACATTATTGACTAATAGTTTATGAATTTGTGCCCAGTGTCAGATGAGTTCACTGTTTGAATAGAAATGTTAAGATATTGTACTGACTGATTGGTTGACTGATAGAAGTGTTTAGCAATTAGGCTGATATTTTGACTGTTGGAAGGGTTTAGATATTGTAATGACTGATTGGTTGCCTGATAGAAATGTTAAATTACTTGTGCTGCTTGATTGATTTACTGTTGAAAATGTTTATATATTATTATTATATATATATGTGTTGACTGATAGAAGTGTTTAGTAATTGAGCTAATACATTGACTGATAGAAATATTTAGTAATGAAGTTGACAGATTGACTGATATAAATATTTAGTAATTAAGGTGATAGATTGACTGATAAAAATATTTAGTAATGAAGTTGACATATTGACTGATAGAAATATTTAGTAATGAAGGTGATAGATTGACTGATAGAAATATTTAGTAATGAAGTTGACAGATTGACTGATATAAATATTTAGTAATGAAGTTGACAGATTGACTGATAGAAATATTTAGTAATGAAGGTGAAATATTGACTGATAGAAATATTTAGTAATGAAGGTGACAGATTGACTGATAGAAATATTTAGTAATGAAGGTTGATAGATTGACTGATAGAAGTATTTAGTAATGAGATTGACTGATAGAAATATTTAGTAATGAAGGTGACAGATTGACTGATAGAAGTATTTAGTAATGAGATTGACTGATAGAAATATTTAGTAATGAAGGTTGATAGATTGACTGATATAAATATTTAGTAATGAAGGTGATAGATTGACTGATAGAAGTATTTAGTAATGAGATTGACTGATAGAAATATTTAGTAATGAAGGTGACAGATTGACTGATAGAAGTATTTAGTAATGAGATTGACTGATAGAAATATTTAGTAATGAAGGTGACAGATTGACTGATAGAAATATTTAGTAATGAAGGTTGATAGATTGACTGATAGAAATATTTAGTAATGAAGGTGATAGATTGACTGATAGAAGTATTTAGTAATGAGATTGACTGATATAAATATTTAGTAATGAAGCTGACAGATTGACTGATAGGCTTGCTGACTGATTGGTTGACAGATAGACAGGCAGAGCTATAGTGCAGCAGATGAAGAGACAGAACATTGTACAGAGACATTTAGTGATGAGTGGACATACATCAGCTTGAAACTGTTCTTGTTGTGATAGTGTTTTATGTTTTCTCTTTCTCTCTTTTTGTTTAATCCATTCTGCATTACTTGTTGGGTAAGAATGCTGTGTAAAAAAAAAAAAGTAAAATCCTTTTTCAAGCCTTCAGGCACATTGGGCATATGGGAAGAGCACCTATATTTTTACAGACAAATCGGCAGTAGGGGGTAATGTGCTCAGCATTACGCCGGCGGTCTTTACTTCCCCAGGTCATACATCCTGATACCCATTTTAGGCTGGGTCGACCTGCGAGGCCCCATACCATGATAAAATGCAGC